GACGCAAAATATTCGAATACTTTCTTCGGCAAAGTTGTAGCCCTTGACGATACAAAAAAAAATTATCACAAAAAGAAGGGTCAAAGACCTTGGGGATAAAAAAGACCCAGAAGTAACCCATTATGGTAATGACCAAAATGGGGTTAAAAACCTTCCAAATCTCAAAATTGACCCCATTTTTGTATTCCTCACGAAAAATTACTTCTAGAAAACCATACCTCCTGAACCCCCAGAGCACCCCTTGTACCCTGAAATCGGATTGAAAAGTCGAAAAATTGGCGAATAAAGGGTACCTCCCACACAAAAGTCCACTTTTTGTGACTTTTGTATGAAAAGTGCATCGAATATTATTTGTATCGCAAAACTAACTTCATATTCGGATTCCTCGTGCCAAAAAACCCCCCAGTACATATTTTTACTCGTATAACGGAGAAACACATTTTTTATGAATTTTAAAAATAGTCAAATTTCATCAAAATTTGAAAAAAACATGTATATCGCCTAGGCCTGGCGCGGTGTGAAAATTCATTTTTTTCTTAATTCGTCGCCATATTCGTGTTTCTATGACCATCCTCAAGAGGTTATGAGGGTACTTTTTTTGATTCTCAAAAAAAAGTCAAAATCGAACCACTCTAGTGAAGAGGCAACGGCCAAAAAGGCGAAAAATACGCCCAAAAATTGAATTCTGTTGCCTGCAATACCTGCAAGAGAGAGGTGCACTTGAAATGTGCCGAAATGCGCAACTCTTGGTACACTTGCCCCAACTGTGACTCCGATGATTCATTGTGAAACCGATTTTATTATGGTTTTTTTTTCTCATTTCATGTTTACTGTTCAATAAAAATCACTCACATTGTGTTTTAACTTCACCCCCGGAACATGTTTATCAAATGTTTAATAAGTGGTCATATTGGGCCCCCTTACAAAAAATCGCAAATTTTTTGAAACGGCTAAAATTTCGTGAACCGTTGAAAATATGAATATGGTTTTTCTTTGGCCGAAAGTTACCTTTTTTAGTGCCCTTTCATTTGGTATATACATGTCTAAAAATTATTTTGTCCTTTCAGCTTTAGAAATTTTGAAAAGATAGGTGGTCATATCAAATCACTCCATTATCATTTTTCTTTGATTGAGTTGAATTCTTGCGGAAATAATATGGAAACGTTTGCAGCAAATAACTTAACATGAGATTCACATCAGTTTAAACCAAAAAATCAAATCAAAACAATAAATACTCTTATTTTTCTTTTGTAATTTGATTTTTCTGAAAACTTCGATTTCACTTCAGAATGTCATAATTGTAGATGTCATAAATGTAGATTTAGTTTGTTTAATGAACACCGCGGACAGCGACATTTGACACAGCACATTTGTGCATCAATTTCATTAAAAAACGTATTGGATGAAAACAATAAGAGAAAAATTTGAGAAAAATGGCTGAAAAAATTGAAAATTCAGATTCAAAGGAATTTTCAGATTTAAATGTGGGCCGTGAAGAGGTAATTTAAAAGCTTTTCTTATTATTCAAATTTATTTTTATTTGTTGTGTTTCCTACAAGTGTTTGTTAAGTACAAATGCACAGAGAGAAAAAACGTGGTATTTTTAATTCAATTTTGGTAGATTTAATATAAAATCAACCAACAAGAAATTAAATTTACCATTTTTGACATTTCTGAGCTAGCGTCATTTGTGGTTTCGAAAAGTTGGTTTTGAAAAATATGCCTTACAGATGTCAAAAATGATAAATTTAGTTCGTTCTTCGTTGTTGGTTGATTTTATATTAAATCTACCAAAATTGAATTGAAAATACCACATTTTTTCTTTCTGTGTGTATACTTCTATTACACTGTAATAATTACAGTATATATTGAAACATAATGCATGAATAGCCATGTGCATACAAATAGATGATACGATTTATCTAGCTAAATGAGAAATTTCAATATTGTGACAATAACTATTTGTCGTATTTATTGTCACAATATTAAAATTTCTCATTTAGCTGGCTAATTCGTGTCAGTTGGGATGATCAAAAGTTCCGATAATTTTCGATTATTTATTAGATTGTAGAGACTGAGGAAGCGGTCAACATTTCCAAAGAAAGTATTGCCGAACGTGTAAAAAGAATGTTACCACCAAATAGTTCGAATCATGAACAAAACTCCATTCAAAATTTTGATGCACGAAGTGGATCTGGGCAAAATCAAAATTTCGACGAAGCAACTTGCTCTGTGTTCAATAACAACGAATCAGACATCCAATATAATCATGTTAGCTGCTCGGACGATCATGTAAGCTGCTCGGAAGAAACAAGACTCAATGCAGAGATCGAAAAAATGCAGCATGATCATGATATAAAGATCGAAAAACTGCAGCATGATAAAATTATCGCAAAAATGCAGCGTGATAAAATTATCGCAAAAATGCAGCTTGATATAAATATCGCAAAGCTGCAGCATGATAAAATTATCGCAAAAATGCAGCATGATATAAATATGGAAAAACTGCAAAAAAGAAAAAGAATAATTGAATATAAAATACAATTGTTGAACGAAAAAAAGAAAAAAAAATCAAAATAGATTAAAATTAATAATTTAATCAATTAATTAATTGTAGGGAAAATTTGTACTGACTCACATTTATACTATAGGTGTAAGAAAAAATATCATAAATCAACAAATAAAAATACCGCACCGTATGCATCATTCGAGATAAGTTTTAACTCCATTGTTTTTTTTTAATAGGAAAAATATATCCTCAATATATTGATCACACAAAACAATTTCAAAATCTCTTGACAGATTATAAACAGAGATCCCTATTGAAAAAAAAACAACAATATTGAAATCAAAACAATTTTCATGCGTTACTAAATGTCAATGTTTACAAAGGATAAACTAATAATTGAAATCATAACATCATGGATAGTGTTGCACTGGAGAAAAAGATAACAGCCAAAATAGCACAAAATGGCAAAGCGATTGTCACGAGTCTTTTGAATGAGTCTCGTTTGCAGTAAGACAAAGTTCACGAGTTCTTTTCACAAGTCAATCAATCATTCTGTATTCTATCGCATTTTCAGGGATCGCAGTAAAGTGTTCGTGAGCCCAGATTGTCAACAGATCAAAATTGTGCCATCGAAAGACTATGATTTTTCGCACTATTTAATTCTTCAGCTGGAGAACGATTTGAACGTATCGATTTTGGAACACAGTCTGCCGGACAATGAAAAGTACTTCAAACCATTGGGAACAATCGAAACATATTCGGCCACTTTTTTCAGTTTGCTTGAACAAACGGTGGAATTTTACAGACAAATGGAAATTATCGATGAGTTATGTTATGTCGTTGATCCAGAGGAAATTACTACAAAGCAAAATTATCGTGTGATCAAATTGGGTATATATACTGTACTTCAATTCCACTTATTTGTATTAATTTAACAGGCGAATTCATTTAATTTATGGTAGACGACAGAGTTTACATGAAAATCAAAGTAAATCCGTTAGATCCTGCTTCTGTAACAACAACATTTTATGGACCAACTAAGAGAGTCGAACACTATCGCAAGATCTACCACGAAAAACTCGATGACTGGAACATTAACGATGATATATACAGAAATTTTCTGAGAATTTTCGGTGAATGTTCGCTGTTTTTTTCAATTGTGAATGTAGTATTTGTAAAAATCTTATTCAATGAACATTTTGATTCGTATAGATTTGATGGCATTTCCTCAAAAAAGTTCGTTCAACAACTGTGGAATGGGAGAGCTGTGCAGTATTTGTTACACTTATCGTTTTGCCGGCCAAATTCCCATTGTATCCTGTGATAATGATAAATGCGCATTGAACTACCATACAACATGCCTGAAGACTTGGTTTGCTACACTTCGTGATACGAAGGTGTTTCTGAATATGACATCAGGTCGATGTCCATCTTGCAAAGAGGTATGCGTGCAACGCAAAATATATTCAATTCTTATTGAAATGAAACAACATGAATACATTTGATTCAATTCCAGAAATTATCAACGGCATTCAACGATTTGTTAGATGAATGAAAACCAGTACCGGTGCTCTTCGTAAATCAGTCGCTTCATCTTTATTCATCCACATCATCGTCATTCATTTTTGAATTTTTCGATACCCAAAAATATTACGGTGTATCGCTTGAATATAATATAATCACGAATAAATGTGATTTCGCTTTGAAAACATGATATAATAAACAAAAACATGTGTATTCGGTAAAATGGTTTTAGTTAGAATAAAAATTGTTTACTAAAATCTAAAAATCTAAGAGTTCTGAATATGATCCAAATGACGTGTGTGACATTAAGACAGTCTTTGCCCGTATTGCAATCACCACGTGACCGTTCATTTGTCATGTCTCTTTTTGATGTTTTCCTCCAAATAAAATTCTACTCAAATAGTACTATTTTCATGATAAATCTGGTTTCATGCCCATTCAATTAGCTCATCGGTGCTTGAATCATTCTCCAATGATCCCGTATCTGTTTGTAAATTGCTCACATTGTCCAAATAAATGCAGTTTCCCGATAAACCCAAAAAAGAGCGCGGCATCAAATTCCTTTAAAATTGTAGAAAAAAAAAACACACATAAAATTTAAATTTGTTACTATATCCTTCTTGCAGGGCATTTTTTTAACGAAAGTAGTTACTTAAGAGATATATTTCCACCCCAAATGTTTTGTGCAATATGCACAATACACATAACGATACATCTGAAAATGCTTTCATTAGATTTGCTTCAGAGTCATTTCAATAGAAGGATATACTTACATGCATTACAGAAATTTGTTCGAACTCCTTCCTTTGACATCGGGAACAAGCTGTTGAATTTTGCGATTTTTGTTCGACATTGCTTGCAAATGATGAATTTCTCCTCCTGTCAACGCATTCCAGTTTTGAGTAAATTTCAATACAATAATATTACATTTGTTCACATGCCAATGAAACTGATCTGTAGAGTTTGAATCATTTGAAAAGAGTAGAATACGTTCCAAAACGTTATTTGTGAGAAAGGCCTTTCTTCGACATTCTGTCTACCATTACTTACAATGGCAAATAATGTCAAAAACTGCATGATGGCGCCATCTCTACGTGCACATGAAAATTAGAACAAAAAGTATGTGTAGAATATTGATTGATTCGAAGTTTGAATATGGAATCATTTGTTGTGACATCTGTCATTCTACGCTCTGAACAAAAACCGATTTATTGTTTGCATCTAGTGAATTTGTGATGGAAAATAAATTAAAATTACTTTGCACAGTTTGTGCCATCGAAATAATTTGCGAGGACGTTGCACAACACATGGTTTTGCATTATACAAACATTCTACACATACTTTTTGTTCTAATTTTCAGGTGCACGTAGAGATGGCGCTGGGAACGCGAAGCTCAAAAAAAATATACAGTCTATATAGAAAGCAAGTGACGGTAGCATTCTGTGCTTAAAATTGCATTCTGGCTGAACCAAAACGACATCGCAATGAAATCCATTGGAACAGTGTCTGAAACTTCAATTTTGAGATTTGGAAGGTTTTTAACCCCATTTTGATCATTGCCATAATGGGTTACTTCTGGAGTCATTTTTACCCCCAAGGAGAGGTCATTGACCCTTCCTTTGAATATCATTTTTTTTGTCTCTTCAAGGGCTACAACTTTGCCGAAGAAAGTATTAGAATATTTTGCGTCGTTTAAAAGATATAGATGACCGTACATAACACAAAAAGGGGATTTTTGGCACTTCAAGGGAGCTTATCTGGGGGGTATATGAATTTGGGGAAAAAAAATTGATGCCAAACATGCTATTTTGGACCCCCATACCACATCCAATAGGAATTTGGAAAAAAATTCTGATACGCTGAGCATGTTTACTGGTTAGTACATTTGAAATAAAATATGATTTTTATTAAAAGTAACATAAAAATGGAAAATTGTGGAAAAAATGAAAATTTGCAATACATTATACAATATTAAGGTATTTTCAGCCAGATGAATCAAGGCAGCCAGATATGATATGTGCATTATAATTTACACTGTAAGTGCCACATCAAATAACAAAAGTTATAACATGAATAAAAAACCCATCAAAATGAACGAATTCACAATCAGTGCGTTTATTGCACTATAATTATCAATAAATGCAATTAATATTATTTTTTCAATTGTGCCTGTTTGACTTTTTAAAAAACCACAAATGTTGTCACAAAGTTAAACGAATTTCAGTATAGTCATATATGAGTTATTGCCAGAAGGTAGTAAGTATATTTTTATTGACAACCAATCAACGAATAAAAAACCTCAATGTACTTTTTGTAATTAAAAAATAGCGATATGATTGATTTTGCTTTGAGACAAAAATTATTCAATTCTCGTAAACAAAATAATAAAATATTGTTGTCGCATTTATTTTCAAACGAAATTTATACATTCGCATTTGGCAGCATATCCGATTATCAACGGTAATGAATAGTATATACGCGGTAATTCAAAGGTGAACAATGAACAAGGAAAATCGTTGAATAATTAAATAGACTCGATGCTCGAAATTAAGAGCATTAACACCATCTATACGCCGATCGATCAGTGAATGGAATTCACATTCTATTTTTACATGGTTAAAATGAACGGCGACCGGACGAATTGCTCCAAATGTTGCCAATTTCACTAATTGGATGTAATCCGCACGAATAAAATATTCAAATCGATTGCCATAACGTGATTGCATGCACATTTTCGAAAATGTATGATGCAAACATTTTAATCGAAATTTATCGTCGCCGTCATTTAAATTAGAATATTCACCTGACACAGTCAAAACGAACTTTTGCGATTTGAATATTCACAGCATTTAGGAAATAAACTAAATGAATTTATGATATTTATTGGGATTACACCAAAATTATTCGCCTTTGTGGAAAATTATAAATTCAAGTGACGGAGTTTTTGTAATACAACCTCTGATGACTGAATAAATGATGGCTTGCAAATGGCTGAAATACATTTCAATGTACAACAGCAGATAAAAAAGTGAGTTTCAATTTGATGTTGCGCTAATTTGTAGAGTGTTTTTGAGGGGTAACGAAGTGGCGCAATGCATCACGATGAACGAATTTATTTCGATTGTCCTGAACAATTCGTTTTATTTTTGCGAAAGAATTAAAATGAATCGGTTAGAATATTCGTGAGCTCAAAAATTTTATTAAATTAAAAGAGCAACATGTTCATATAAAAAATGTATGGGCAAGTTGCAGTTTTATTTTGACAAATTTCTTGAGGTCACGAATATTCCAGCCGGTTCAAATGTACATTTAATTATTGTTAATTGGTTGAGAGTTTTGAGAAATTTTAAGTTTAAATTTAAAATATTGTTGAGAGATTTACAACGAATTTTCTTCTAATCTACATCCGGTTTCTAATTAAAATAATGGCGACGAATGAAATTTCAAAGTTTCTTTGGAATCCTCAATTGAAACAACACTGTTCTCTAGGTCAAAAGTTAGAGTTATAAATTATTGTGACTTCAAAATGATACTTGATCTCACATTTGAATCCTTTGATTCACATTGCAACTCTCAATTAACCCCATCTGACTGGCAGAAATGGCTCACACCAAACAAAAAATGATCTTTGACTAACATAAGTGTGTACAATGTAAAAAGGGCCAAAAAGGCTTTAAGGTAGACAGTTTCGATGTTCCATTGTAGCCAGATGATATGTCATCCGAGTATTGAATCTATAACGTAGGATGACAGCACTTTAATTTGCATTTGATTGATTCAGAATGAGATAGGGTGTGAAATCAAAGTGAGTGGGATATCGTCTTAAATTGGATTGAACGTCGAATGCAATATCCGATATAAGAATAAAATCCGTAAAATTGACGGAGAAGAGGTTCACATGTTCTGTACAGATGTACGATTTGAAGTAATGAAGAGTAGCCAATGAAATAAAACGAACGATTTCAAATTTCAGTTTTTCCCTTTATTATTTACCAATTCCGTTTCAGATGAACAAAACAAAACAAAAAAAAAAACAATATTTAACTTGAGTAACTTGAAATTGACTTTGAAGAAGATATACGTTGTGTTTGTATGAAATATTCAGACATCTCGTTAGAGCTAAGAGCATATACTAAATGAAATCACATCTATTTCCTTAACAAAAAAAAATGCACTGTTCTTTCTGACCTACACTAACAAAAATGTGTTTGTTTCGAGACACGCCCCAATAGGATATTAAGCATAACGTGTTATTCTTTTTTTTTATACATGTAATTTAAGTCGCTTAATTTCAAAATGTTGGAATTTCAACGTCATTTTGTGTGTGAGAGAGAAAAAAATCTCGTTTTTACCATATACATTTTCTTTGCATAATAATTGTTATAATATGTAATAATTATTTATTTTTACTAAAAAAGCGATGTACATGTGTCACTTCAAATTGAACTATCAAAGAAATAGTGAAAAAAAATAAAGAATAAGAAGCGATGCACACATAACATTTTGTGAGTGTTTATTATCTCTTGCGTTCGTTTTCAGTATAAAGATGTTTTAATTTTTTGTTTTTTTATATAAAAAAAATCATAGTCTGATGTCGGACTGTGTTAAGAATATTTTGTTCTTGCTGTTGTTGTTGCTTGAAAAATGTTATGTTATGTTTACAAATGACTGATTGTATATGTATTAATCGGTGTTGTGGTTAGTTTCTGTTTCCGTTCATTCTTATCTATCTCATTCGAATTGGTCTTTTGCCATCATTTCGTTTTTTCTTGTTTCATTTTCTAATCGGCCACATTCAATTGCATGATTTTACAATTACATAATATTTTATTACTAACATTTAAAAAAAGGTGATCTTTTTTTTGTTGATATACAAAAAAAAAAAACATAAAATTTGTAAAGAAATCTAAGCACAACAACTTTTGTATGCCGGCGGTTTTTCTTGGCGACGATCAACGATGACACGTTCGGGATTTTCTGTGTTTTCTTTGCCGGCCGTGTTGTCTAAAATGGCTTCCGCCAACTCCGAGAATGCTCGTTCGATGTTAATATTTGCTTTGGCTGATGTTTCCATAAAGCGAATACCATGCTCACGGGCTATGGCCTCGCCCCGATCTTTCGTTACAACTCGTTTATCTTGCATATCGCATTTATTGCCCAATATCATCTTTTCCACATCTTCATTTGCATGCTCGTCTATATTTCGAAGCCATTTCACAATATTCTCGAAGCTCTTTTCATTTGTGATATCGTACACCAGCATTATACCTAAGGGGAGAATCACAAAAGAAAAGAATTAATTTGAAATAATCGATAAGTAATCGACAAATAATCGACAAATACTCGAAAAAGAATCAATAACAATTATTAAATAATAGAAAGGTAATTTTTAAGTGAATTGCCCCTAGATTATACCCATTGCTCCACGATAATATGATGTTGTGATTGTATGGAACCTTTGGAATGAATAAAAAATATTATCAAATTTAGCATATAAGAATCGCATTCAACGGTTAACATACCTTTCTTGGCCAGCTACATGCGTATAAAAAGAGACAAACAGAATTGTTAGCAATTAAACTGTGTGGCATCAACATCTTAACTAATTTTCACAACTCACCTGTATCCCAGATTTGCAATTTGATTTTCTTTCCGCGTAATTCGACCGTTTTGATTTTAAAATCGATGCCTATCGTTGAGATGAACGTTGACGTGAATGCATCGTCGGAAAAGCGAAAAAGTATACAGGTTTTGCCTACACCTGAATCTCCGATCAGCAACAATTTAAACAATAAATCGTAAGTTTTCTTTGCCATGGCTATTGCTTGGTAATAATAATAATAAAAAAAAGTTTGCGTGTGTTGTAGTGTGTTTTTATTGTAGCAAAAAACACGTAATTCGCAATCGAGCGGAATTCTTTGGAAAATCAGCTATGAAAAGATTCGAGTTTATCGTTCTTTGTTATTTTTTTATCTCTCTCCCTCTCTCGCGCGTTATAATCTTGTTTTAATTATAAACACATAAGCACAACACCTTATCAATTTTTATTTTAATGCAAATTCTTTTCCGATTTTTTAATTCAAAATTGTAACATTTCCGATTCAAATTGTAGATCTCGATTCACAATTTTTACAATTTTCTCGATAACAAAAGCCGATCCTTATGCACACTTCAATGTAGAAAAAAGAAATTCCTTTTTTTCTCTCTTTTCCGTCGTCTTTTATGAGAAATACACAGAAAATTGGAATATGACTAAGACGACGAATGACATTTGTATCATTTACTAAAAAATTGTGGTCGGTACACACTCTCAGTTCAAATAAAATCAATTTGAATGATGGCCGTTTACAAAACAAATAAACATATTGCGGGCATTATTTGTGTGACAAAACAACACATTAACCTTATTACACAATATAAATTCAGTTTTTTTTTGGTAAACGAACTTTGTACGACATTGTGAGAAAATTTATTCATATGGTCAATGTCGAATTGAATTCAGGTTCTTGACAATCATTTTTCCGAATTTGTCGTGAGAATGAGACGCAATTCATTGACAGCAATGAATTTTGGTTGTGATATACTGCGATTCATTCATTATTTGACAACATAACCTCAATGTTGGTGTGTACTAAAAATTTAAGACATATATATATATAAACAAATCTCGTGACTTAACAGTGTATTTATCATGAAGTGCATATACGCACATCTCGCACCTTGGAATTTCGCGTGCAATACAGTGTGTACAGCATCGAGATATGTGTGAAATGAAAAGTAGTAAAAAAGAATCATATGATTTCATTGTCGGACACAGCCCAATTTGAAATTAAGCGATTTCGCTGCTTTGGATGTTGCTGTTAATAGAAAATCTACAGTGCGTTCACTTTCGGATGGGTTTATTTTTATCGAGATGCTAAAAGACTTACCGCACATCACTTTTGATTTCATTGACACATCGCAATAAGGAAATACAGTAAATTGATTTGAAAGCCATAAACCATTGACTCACGATTCGCAACTTCGCAACTACAAAATAAACTAATAAAATACAAACGCCACCAATTTTTTTATTTGATATTAATTTTTTATTGATTTAAATTATCATCGTGTGTGTATCATACATAATTTCTTTTTCTTGTCATTTGACTTTTTTTTTGTGTTTTCTTTTTTTTTTTGTTCTCATATTTTCACTCCGTCCAAATGCAACATTCATTAATGCTGCATTTTTCTATTTGTTTGCTTCATCATCGTTTTGAAAACAATATTTTTGTACAATTTTAATTAAATTTTTCTTTTAATGCATTGGCCATTGTTGCCACGAATTCTAATTTGCAGTAGCTTGTTGTTGTTTTCATCTTTAATGTAATATATTAGTAGGTTGATTGGGGGGCCCATTATCATTTCATGCGCACGATGAGATCGAACCACATAAGCGAACGCATTGAATGATCCGGACCACACACACGCGTGTTTGTGTGACATTTTTCATGTTTTTTTTTTTAATTTGTCTTTTGATAAATCGTTAAATTTAAATTACTTTGTTTTGTTTTGCTTTTCATTTTTTGAAATTCAATAGATAAAATTTTACTTTTAAAGATTAAGTTAAATTGTTTTATTTGTCGGCCTCATATTGTGAGGGGCTTCTTTCCATTATTTCATCATTTGATTTTAGACTAAAAACTTGCAAAACACAACGAGACCTTCGTAATGAACATTCTTTTTTTCACTCATTTTTTAAACTATGTTTAGCGGTTTTGCTGTGCTTATTTTTTTATAAGCAAATGAATATATTTGATTTACAAGTAGTTTCATGTTTGTTTTCGACAAAAATGTACAAATTGTTAACCAAGTGAAAAAAAAATGAAACGAAACCAAAATTCAACTAGTTTCGATTAAAATCTTATGTTAAAAAAGCTCTTAAAATTCGGAATTTCGCCATAAATTCCTTGTCTAATAAAAAAAACCATTCACACCATTTTGGACTACGTACTGCTGTTTTCTTTCTTCAAACAAATTTATAGTACCGATGTTGTTCATTGCTATTTTGTTTTTTGGTGAGGTTAAATCAGCGCAAAACAAATATGTGATTGACAACGAACATTTGACATATGACACCCTTTTTTATAACGATCGAACAACCTATACAACGAATCAATGTGGTGTGCCGTGAATCGATGGATGATGAATATTCGCTTAAATAGTTGATTACGTTTGTCAACTTAAAAATTAACGAAAGTGAGAAAAAAAATAAAACACCGCCTATGATCTCAATGTAAATCAGCATTCTTAAATGAAATCATATGCTTCATTTTGTTTTATTATTATTATTTTGTTCAAAGGATAGTAGATTCTTGTATATACACATAAATGGGCAATATAATTGTTTCACATTATCTATGCTATGATCGGAATCTCTTCAATTAAGAGACTGGATCTTTGTGTGGGTGTGTGTGTGTGTGGTTGATGTGTGTTCACTACTCTATAATTGTAAGTATGATCTTTTTCTCTTTTGTTTTGTATTTTCTTCACTTTTTTGTTATTTTATATAAAAAAACAACACACTACTTTAGGTAGGATGGTAGACACATGAAAAATTGGAACATTCGATTATTTGCTTTTTCTCTCTCTTTCTGTTTGTTTATTGATTTTGCGTGAGTTTTATTTAATTATTTTTGTTGTTTTTCCCGCTGACTTAAAATGCTATGATAAAATGCATGCATAGAAAATGTGTATGATCCTTTCTTTTTTAAATGGGAATGTTCTTCGATTTGCATCGATGTGGTGATTTGTGAAAATTAACATCTAACTAAAAGCAAAATGCACGGCATGTGTGTTTCAATGACGCGATTGAATGGTTTGTATGGATTCGATGTGATTTCTACGTATTTATATATTTAGCATAGTTTCAGTAATTGGGAGCCCTTTATGCAAATTCCGCAATATGGTATGGTTTTGAGGTTTTTCTTTTGGAACTCATGATTGGAAGTTTGGGTCAACTGATTTCATATCACTCTATGTGTAACCTTTTATCCTTTTATGTAATAGAAACATAAATCGCGCATTTAACACTAATTTTAGCACCAAACGGATTGTGGAAAATAATACGCTTCGAAAATGTAACCAATTTGAAAAAATCTCGAAACGAAAAAAAAAATTGATGACAGAAACAAAGAGGTGTTGTTAAAGGAAAACGAAACAATAAACGCTGAATGAAATTGTGACAATTGATGACTTCTGTTTGGTTTTATTCGTCTAAGCATTTCAATAACATGACAAATTAAATGTTTAACTATTTTAGACTACGTTTGATGACGCTTATATTTCTTTCTTTTTTTCAATTTCGACTCAAAATTATTATAAGACGGCGTGTGTATGTGTGACATTGGACGAAAGTCATTGTGCATTATGTTTGAGAAAAAAAACATCGTAAAAATCACAATTGAAATACATGTGTCAGAAGCTGCTATTCCATCTACTTGGTTCGTTCTGCACAAATGTTTTGGCTCTTTCAAAATGATCCGCACACATATCGATATTGAACGCACTTTGCATTTGTTTTTTTTTTTTGTTTTGTTTTATTAATTTTTGAATACGATTATTATGTTATTTCTTTTAAATCATTCGATCGAATACTATAAACGGTGGAACTTGTTTTGGGTATAGAGCAGGTTGTTTGAATAAATACTTTTTAAAATGTTCAAGAGGTTAAAATCAAATTTCGAACTTTTTGTGTTTTGTGTGGGTTTTGTGTATGTGCAGTAGAACGAAATATTTTATACCGGAATCATGTGGACAGAAGTTGCTACTCGGTTATGATCTACTTGAATATGTTTTCTTGCATTTATTTTAATTTGATTTTGCGTGGATTTGGGTAACTGAAAATGACGATGACTTCGGAGATCTTATCGCATGCCTGAGAGCCAGTTGATGAGACTCGGAAAGTCATTCTCATACTCAGCCACACCATTTTTTTTGTATTTTCGAAGCGTTGTTACTTTTTTGTGTTTAATTTGCATTAGATTTGTTGTTTTTCCACTCATAATTTTACTATTTTAATTTTTTTTTATTTAAGAACAAAAAGAAATAGGTAAAACAATTAGAATAATAATAAATCGGTTGATAATTAATAAATTTTACATCAATAATTAGATATAGAATAGATATAAACACTTAGTTCCATAATAATAAAAACAAATTAATCTTTCATGTTTTTTTTTTCTTCTTTCATTCATTTCTATTATCTTCATCGTTCATCTACATCAATGCAATCAATTTAAATTATGTAATCATTTAGTAAGTGTATAACGTTTTTTGTTTGTTTTTAGAGTTTTGAAAGAGTTCACTTGTTGTTTTCATTATCTCTATTCATTTTTTTTCTATACCAGTCAGTATCTTGATCAAATTCTTGTTGAATTCATTTTCTTTTTTGCTTCTTTTTAAATACAACTAAAATTTATTTGTTTTCAAATTTATATAGTACAATATTGTTCTTGCAGCTATTGCAACGCTCACTCTCTCACTATATCTTTTCGTTTTACGGTGTTTCATTCATGTTCTTTGGCCAGTCACTTGGTGGGGGGAATTAAGTGTGGCTCATCTGTGAACGTACAATTAATCCATTTGTTTTAAATACATTTTTTCGCTTTTTTATGACATTTTGTGTGTGAATTTTTTTTATTTTTTTTTTGTCGCACTAAAGTATAACCGTAGTTTTCCGCCGGGCGAAATGACAACAGCAATATTTATAGCATCTAATTTTTTTTGTGTTGAACTTTTTCTGTATTTTTTGTTGTTTTTGTTGTTGTTGTTTAAATTCACAGCGGAAGTGTTGGTGTATTGGTTGGTGTGGTTGTCAATACGGACGCGGATGGATAACGTAGTGTATGTTGCGACGATGCCTGTACAAAATCCTGGCTTTGATTGACCACACTGTCCCGCGAATTTGAGTGTGAGGTGGCACGTAATAACTTTACTGCTTCACGTTCTGGACTACATTGCACTGCTTCTAGTCATTTTTGACGTGTCGATTTCTTCTTTTTTCGCTTAAAAAAGCAACAACATCTAGAAAAATAATTTCTTTTGGCGTTAGTCAAATGTGTTGTGGTTAATCGAATTAAAAATTGTATTTGTTTTTTGTATTGTTGGTTTTTTTTAAGTCACGAGTATGTTTGTTTGTTTGTTTGTTTCGTATGTTGAGTAATTTTGAGGTAAATGGTTTTTTTATGATTGATGTATATATTTTTTTTCGGTTTCAGAAAAAAGAGAGAATCAAAAATGAGCAAGAAAAAAGAACGAAAGAAGAGAAAAAACAAACAAATACATTTAATGTTTTTCTTTATTTACATACTACTAATACAGGTTACACAATTTTTCCGTCGCCCGCCGGCAAAAGTAGGTTGGGAAAAATTCATGTAATTCCAAAGAAAATGAACAGCAAAGAAAAGAAACGGTCATAATATGTGATATAATTAAAATTTTGTTGTTTTTTTTTTAAGAAAGTTGCGTATTTTTTTCGTTTTGAAAAGAAGAGAAATCAATTATTTTTTTCGCATCCGAAAACAATTAAAAAAAGATCGTGTTAAATGTGACAATGAATTCGAATGGACATACTTTGATTCGTCGACAAGTTCCACTTCTTGCTGTTGCGTTATCGGAGTATTCGATTGTCCTGCGGTTGGATCGTCGGTATTTAGCTCGCCATTTGTTGAGCTCACAACCTAAAATTGTTAATACACGCGAAGAAAAGAAAGAGAAGATTATTAGTTAAATATTGTTTGCAAACATGCAGTGTTGTGTACAGATACAAAATGTGCCATAGTTTCTATTCAAAGGTGTATGTGTGTGTGAGAAAGAGAGAAATTTACAGCTCTTGAATGTTCCAAACTTGTAATTGAATCACGTTGATTCGATTTACAGAATTATGCTCAGATGATACTATTGTGTATTTCAACCACATTCTATCTACAAATATAATATTTGGCTACGATGTTTGACATTGATTAATATTATAAATTCCATGCTCAAAATCAAAACCGAGCAAATTGTGCACACAATAATTAGATGTGAATTTGAATACATGAGCATCTAAGATGCTGAACTACAAAGATTCTAGAACGATGTCAATACCTTGTATACATGTAGAACAAGTCAAGTGAAAACAATAGAAGAGAAAATGCCAAAAATAAGATAGTCTGCGCATAAATATGTCAAGTGTGATGCATATTTTGTGTTATTGATTTATTTTGTTCATGGTTTTTTTTTTAAATCGATTGGGTACAAATGCAATTTATAGATAGAAAAAAAAGAAAGAAAGAGATAGAGACAGATAGGTAGAAAGACGATACACAGATATTTACATACAGATGGCAGATAGGTAATGATAGGAGCGACAGGGTGGAAAAACAACAAGAAAAAGAGAAAAGAAAAACAAAAAAAGTACAAAAACAAGTCATTTGGTGTGTAGGCAGATTGATATAGTTATTTAATAAACAAATTATTATCCCTGGATTTTCCAATTCCAATCGCGTATAATTGGATCAATTTAAATCGAATAAACTCGAAAATTTCCATCATTCTTATTACTTGTTAAACATTTTACATGAGAATACTTGCAATAATATAATCTGATGGGTTTTATTTTGAACCATACTCAGAAACGATAATTAATTTAAATTAACAAATAAAAAACATCCTTCAAAATCATAACAACATTTTACATGTGTAAGTAAGTAAGTTGCACGTGCAAAAATGCTCGAATTCAATTTATTCGCGGAAATTTAAATTCAAATTAATTGATGTTTGTTTTTTTCTGGTTGTAAATTTACATTCTAATTTTAAATACAAGACACACGAAACTCATAGCATGAACAATTTGTTATAAATGCGGGATAAAAACAAAAAAAAACAACCAACTGTGGGGATATATTGAATGGAGGAGGGCATAACCATTTTCATTTTTCATTCATGTGGTAACGCGTAACATACCTGTACAGAACCATGTCGATCGGCTGGTGTTAGATTGCCAAGCGTTGCTCCGGATTTTTGAACATCTGGCCATGCAGCAGCAACTCCCCCCTTAGCGTTTGTCTTTTTTTATGTGTGTGTGTGTTTGTCAGTTTTTATCGGGATTGGTCAATGTAATTGAGAGTTGATGAACAAGCAATTTGGTGTGTTGATGGATTAGTTGTTGAATTATGGCAATTGTACATGCAAACATTCAGCAAATCGATTTTTTTGTTAGTCAAATGCAATAAATACAGCAGCGCATCATCACAAAACATAATTGAAATGGAAAACAAACGCAATTAGTTTTATAATATTTTGTATGAAATTGAGGACAACGAAAAGCGGGTTAAAAAAGATGTACAGTAGATTGCCAAATGTCGACACACGACCAAATGTCGGAATACCGAGAGGTGAATTGAAATTAAAAATTGAAAATTCATTTGAATTGCATTTTTAAAAGTAAATTATGAAAGATCAATATCAAATCTCTTTATTATAATCCAAATTTTAATCAAAAATCTATTATTGCTTTCACAAATTACGTTCAAAAAAAATTCGGCATTTTTATTATTTTTTCACGTCAAAAGTTAAACTATGTCATTTTGAGACAAGCCGGTAAAATGCGTTTTTTTATATGAAAAAATAACTAGTTTGGAAAAAAAATTATATCGGCGAATTGTAGATAGTTTAATTTAATTATTGAACAGAAATTTTGAAAATATAAAGAAAAACAATTATATTTATTTTTCATTTTTCACTGTAATATTATTCCGGAATAAATCGTCCAATTGCCGACACATAAAGCACCGAAGTTTCAAGTGAAACACTTTGGATTTGACAGATGTGACAGTTAAAGTCGTATTTGGTTCATTGTGAAATTCAAACCAAAAATATTCTAGATCAGTGAAATAACGTAATATTTTTAAATATTTTTGCCACTTTACTATGGAAAAATAAGTAAAATAAAATATGGAGCAAAAATATATCAATCTAATAATTTTAACTCCAATATTTTGTATTGTTTACCTCAATGTAAATAGTGCGTTCATGGGCTGTCAAAACTTAAAGTTTACAAGTTTCGTAGTGAAAATGCATGAAATATGTCGAGATTAGGGAGCCGAGAATTGGACGACGAATATCCGACATTTGGAATTTTCGATGTTATGACGAAAAAATGGAAAAAAATAATACATTTTTGGAAATTACTATCTTTTGAGAAACGTGAAATGAAGCACAATTAAATTCTGCATCGAATTGTGTTTAGAATGATATTTTTAGATGAAATCAAAAGTGTTAAATATTAAATTGAAGTTGAAAATTCAAACAAATAGTCCGACATTTGGGCGAGTGTCCATATAGAATATTCCGGTGATTTATGAGTTTAATAAAAAAAATGTAAATGATGTCAAAGCGAATGATGGAGTTTCTTGAATGACTATGAAATTGGAATCTAAATGGAGTATATCTGTGAGAAGGGGCGATTCGATAGCAATTTAAGGTATTAATCGAATCTACGGAATTCGAGCATTATTCAATGAAAATGTGGCTTTTTTCAGCGAAGGGTATATTTAGCCTTGAATTTAAAGAAGAAAAAAGTGAAACCACTCTCCACACCTGGAAATACACTGAAAGATCTTGATCGGCGAAGAAATCTTCATAATAATCCTCATAAAAATCAACGAAATCAGGCTCCTTAATCAACAAAAAACGATGATGTTTCATATAATGTTTGTTATCCAAATGGTTCATGCATTTTCAACAATGTTAATAGATATAAATGTGTTAACCAATCAAAATATTTCACTCGTTGCTTTGATTCAACAAAATTCGGAATCATGTGAAGATGTTGTGAACAATAAAATAAAAATAGAAAATTACCTTGTTTGCGGTTGTATGGCGATCACGATTCGGTGAAACAACTACTTCATGTCCAGTCTGTATAGAGCCTACCGGTGTTGACTAAAATTCGTTATTTTCCAATGTTACAATTAAACATTCGGAAAATGCAAGTAGAAATGTGCGGAAATTGGAAAATGGGGAAAAAATGTTAATTAAATGTATTGCATTTGTTAACGAACATTAAAAAAACGAATGAAATCAATTGATTTTTTATTATCGAGCAAAAGAATAAAAAAAAAACATATGCAAAGTGATGATTTTTATTCATTGATGTCGAACGAGTTAAGCAGAATAATAGGAAAAACTAACAAAAATATAGCATACCAGATGGAATAGAGGCGGTAATTAATGTTGAATTCGAATACTCTAAATTGAAAATTACTTGGAATATATGGGACTGTGTGTGTGTCGTCCACTAAAATCGATTAATTGGATGGAAATGTGTGAATGATTCCATAAATGAACGGATTGCCATCGCAATATGAACGAAAGAAGATTTTAAAATACAGTTCACTAGCAATACGTTTTAATTGTTTTTTTGGTGTAAAAATTGAACATGTTTGTTTTTAATGATAACGGTTGGCAAAACGAAACAGAAAAATTCACCTTATCTGATTTATTTTTTACGATATTCGATGGCGGAGCATTCCTTAATTGACGCAATTGGTAATAATTGCTTGGCTTTTTTGGGTCACGCAGAATAAAATAAAATTTTTGATAGTATTTGTTTTTTTTTTTTTTTTTTTTTTTTTGTTAAAAATATCATATCGATTGATATTTTTTTTTAAATGCAGAAATAAAAGTAAAAATCCAGAGAGAAAAAAATTTATATTTTTCGTATTAGCAACCATTATAGTGTTTATATGTACTTTGAATTTCCATTTGAATATTCTACGAAAATCTACTTTGCTGCCGGTATCGATGTAATATAAATAGATTTTTATTTTTTCACACTCGCACTCACTAATAATAATCCGAATCAATTGAGCTAAGATCGTCGCAATCATCGCTATCAAAATTGTCAATTACATCGATATTTACCATTGTTCGTCCAGTCCAATCGAATTCACCATCATCCACATAATTCTTTCGATCAAAGAGATCTTGAAACAGTCTTCTTAAATAGTCGTAGTCAGGTGTTTCAAAAAAATCTAATCGTCTAACGTAGCGAAGGTAGGTTGCAAATTCTTCTGGATGATTTTCGCATAAAACCTGTCACACGGAAAAAACGAACAGAAATCGATTAGAATGAGCAAAGTAAAAACAAACAGAAAAGAAAATGAATGATAATTGCTATGCTACCTCAATCGGCGTGGATCGTTTCGTATCACCAATTTTTTGATATCGTTCCTTAAGTGTATCAGCCTTGAGACCTTGCCATGGCAGTGAACCTCTTAGAAAATACATAAACATATGCCCCAGCGCTTCTAAATCGTCTCTTCGCGATTGCTCTCGGCCCATATGCGTATTTATCGACATATATCGTGCTGTACCAGTCAACGACTTATGCTCCCGATATGGTATATGCTTATTAGTATCTAAATCAATGTATTCTTTGGCCAACCCAAAATCTAAATTCATTGAAATGAAGAGAGAGGAAGACAGGTGGACGAGAACGAAAAAAAAAAACAAAAAAAAAAATGTATATTAGATTCATTCCATTGATTTCTGTTGACGTCGAAGTTGTCATCGTCGATTGACGCTGCTGTTGAAATGATTGATGAACGAATGACTGTGGTATGCCGATAAATTAGCATTTAAATCGACAATATGGCACAATTCAATTCACATTCGTTATGGTTGTTCCTCCTATCATTTCAACAATTCAAACATTACTTGCACGTAAATCTATATAGACATATTGTTTGAAAAATATCATGTCCTTCGGCATATTTGTCGTTCAATTATTCCATTTTATTGACTTATAATTATGTTTGTCGTATTCCGTAAATTGACACTCACCAATTATGTGAATAATTTTATCACGTCTGGTTGATGTTCGACCGATGAGAAAATTTTCCGGTTTTACATCTCTATAAATTAAGTGACGACTATGCACGTATTCAATCCGATGAAGCTGAATACATTTTTGATGAGGTGGTGGCACGTGTAGGTGGTGTTTTCAAGAGTTTCAGATTGACACAAGACAAAGAAATCATACAAAAAATAAAAAATAAATTGCAATTAGTCAGATATGATGTGAATCGTTTCAAATGGTCTATGTAATTAGTTATGTTTAATAAATTTTAATGGAGGCGGTAGACGAAATGAAGCCAATTTATTATGCATTTGCCCCTAAAACCTTCGCATATTTCGTAGAAGAACATCCATTCATTAATCCTTTTGTACAATTAAAAATGTTTTACACACTTTTTTGTCGTTCTACGAAATATTACTTGATTTTGGTGCACAATTTTGCACAATAATTTGCGAATACATTTTTTTGGTATTAAATTTGTTGTCCATTTCGTCCACCACACACATACTAAACAAATCTACGAAATAAAACATAATACTACGCAAAATGGAAATGCATTCAAATAGAGTTAAACAGTATTGATATACGTATGTTGAATTTGATAAATGAATTCAACGCATGGTTACTACCTATTTAGCAAATGAATATTTATTATTATCATCGAACGGAAAGTCTACTTTGTATTCTATTTGAAATGACACATACACACAAAGAAACAAAAATTATTATGAACAGCTAAAAACATCGAGATACATCTATTGACGCACTAAATTCGATTTAAGAGAAATGTGGCTTATATATATACACACACGCGCGCGTAGCTGGAGTGTGTTCATGCGATCTTTTAAACTCTGAATGTTCGCCATCGCTTTATGGTGTGCGGTTTGCACTAATTTTGCATAGATTCGTGATTAACTGAGAAGAATGTGATAATTGTTGAAAATCGTTTATAATTTGTAATAAAATGGCAATGTTGCATATGATTCATGAAAGCTTGTGGTGTTTTTCAGAAGCAATTAAACTGGATTTGTGCGATTGAATTTGAAGATACAGTGCATGCGAATATAATTTCCGTCGATTCATTTTGAAATTTAAGCGCATACGAAAATATTTTAATTCAATTTCAATAGAATTCAGTTTACACTAAGCTTTACAGAAGCAGAGGTTCGGTCCGCAGAATATTCATTTTATGAAAATGTTGATATTGAAATTCTCTGTATATCACCCAAAACCGAATTAAATTAATTTCTAACATGTGATAGGTAATATCAGAGCGGAACCACAAACTTCAATCGCATTAAATAAGGTATCTTGATGGAAATGTGGTTAAATTTCAACGTTATTAGTTAAAGGATATAGACATATTCGCATCAATTTTATGAAATCTAATGAGATTTTGGTGCGGAATTACAAAAAAATTAATTTTTTGTCTAATTGAATGGGAAAGAGAAAAATGTGTGCAAAATTTGTTTGGAAAAAAGTGAGTGTGTTGAGGTTAAAATACTATTAAAAAAAATTAGGAAAAAAAAGAATAAAATGTGGGATTAGTTGCGTTCGATGGATTTGGTGAAATCATATTAACGTTTATCGAATATAAATATATTGAAGAAGATAAGATACTCGAAAAGTTCAAAGTGTCTTATCTCTCTCATTTCTTTTGTCATTGTTTTTAAATCCAATTTGCGATGCACAATCTTTTCGATTTGCCACGATTCCGAATTGAATTTGCTTTTTTTTCTTCTTTCGAATTCTTTTGAATTTATTTGTTGTGATTTGACAAAAGGGTTCACTTTGTGGACAATTTTGTATAATTTCATTTTGTTTCAGTGATATTTGGTTTGTTTGTTATGTTGTCTGTTTTATACTTACAAGTTGTATTGCTATCATTAGAACTGTCTTCAATGAAAACCTCCGCCCACACAAATCGAATAAATCTTCAAGTGATGGACCAAGTAATTCCATAACAAGTGCATTGTATTTTCCGCACGGCCCGAAATAATATACTTCAGGTACGCCTTCTGCTAGACACACACATTCATCATCATCATCATCATCATCATCAGACAAACGCAGTTTTGAGGAGAGACAAAAACAATATACAGAATGCGCCAAATTTGTGTGTAAACGAGACAGAGATTCATTTAGAGAGCAAACATTTTAGATTTTGTTGCGGTCGGCACCCATTTTTTTTTTCGATGTCGCGTGATATCGATTTTTGTTTGTTTGTTTTCGGTTTTGTTCGATTTGGATAGTATTTTTTTATTCGTTTGAATTTGATAACACATAAAATAAAAAGAAAGAATAAAATTGCAAAAGAAAAAAATAACAAATTATGGTTGTGTAAGTGAAATTCTGTTTAAAGTGCAAAAAATGAGATATCTCGCAAAAGCGGCAACAATGAATGTGTTGTTATTTTCCGCATTGCATGGTAGCAAACGAATGCAATAATGGAGAGGAAACGTGTGCATGAAGAAAGACATAGAGAGAGAGAGAGAGAGAGAGAGAGAGAAAGAGAGAGAGAACATTTACATAGTGGCGTCTATTCTCTGGGTGCGCACATATCTCAGGGTTGAGAATGAGATCAACAGAGAGGGAGAGAGGGAGAGAGATAGAGAGAAAAAAAGAATGAAAAAGAGAATGTGTTGCTCTTGACGTAATAATAAGAAATGAATGAAAATGAGTTGTTGAGATTTTTATCTTTTGCATTTTGGATTCGTATTCCCTAACGCTATTTGCTCGCTTTATGCCTGTGCATTTATTATGGTTTGCAGCAAAACTAAGAACTTCGTATCGATGGTTGGCCTTTGCAGCATGGAGGGCAAAACACTCAAATCAAATCAATTTGTTTTCGGTCGGAAATGTGTCAAGAACACACACCAGCGAATATTGAAAGCGACCAAGTTAAACACCGGGCGCAAAATGATACATGTAACATGAGGAGCGAAGCGCAAAAATGAAGACGAACGATCAAGGTGGAAAAAAATATATAGATAGAACGAGTGGAATGATGGAGTGAAAGCGAAATGGGAAGCATCAGAGAAAAATTATTGGTTTGCCACTGAACTGTTTCATTACAAACACAACACACACAGCAAATATGGGGGTCGGCTCACCGCAATTTCGATTACCATTTCATTTACACATATTGCATAAATGTGGCGTAACATATACATATTCTAACACTTTTTGGCGAATACGTGTCTGCATTTTGTTTGTTTTTTTTTTACCCAAAACCCTAACGTGGCACTTGTTTCGTTTTTTTTTTTATTTTTCACATTTTTTTCTCTTTGGGTTTCATGAATTTCGCTACTTATGATTCGGAATAAATTACCACATTCAACCAAATAAAGATAGCCAATTTAAATAATAGAGCTAACTCTTCGGGTGAATATCATTTTTTGCTGAACTAATGAACAATTTTTACTGAACTTTCGACTATTTGATTATTAGAAGAACATAGTGTTGACGCAAATCCGTCAATTACATGATAAAAATAATTTCGCTTTTAATTCGATATATTCAAAAACATTGCATTAATATAAGGTTTTGGTTAAACGAACACTGATGCATGCATGCAGAATTGTTATTTCATTGTCTATATCGTATGGCGTTAGTTTTTTTACTTCAATGGTTATTCTCTAGGATTTATAATATCAATCAGCATTTAATGCATGACAAAATGAGATTGCCGCATGAAGTGCGAGTGAAGGAGTAAGACAGAAGGGGGAAACAGACAGGGAGAACAGAGCATGCTGAAACGAAAGATGTAAATATTCACAATTTTCATGATTAAATTGTCAGTTGGGTGGCAAAAAAAGTATCATAGGCCGCAACAAAACAATTAGTTTATCGATCACGTCTCCAAGCATTTTAAAATTCGAAATGAATAATTGAATAAAAAAATGTAGTGCTTGAATGACATATATATTGCACACAAATCATCAAATAGTTTCAATATGCACTTATGCATATGTGCTGCACGGTGCACGCATCTATGAATAATAAATCACTTCAGTCATCATCATAATGTATAGATACACTCAACAATGTTATTGTTTTTGGTGAGAGCTTCATAAATCACATATATTCGATAAACAAAAAAAGGCGATAAAATACAATATGAACAATGCATTTAAAAAAAACCGAAATAAATCAAATGCAATCTCTTTGGTTCCATCAAATATGTGACTGATTCGATTACGGACCTTAATCCGATTGTAATCGATTCAGCAAAAAAACGCTAGCCATCAAAGTCAAACTCAATGAAGTTTTTACTATAATTGCAATTGATGCAATCGATTTTGATATGCTTTTTAGCTTCAATAATCACACACGCACACACATATCAAACATTACTATAAAAAAGTTCGAGTTCAAAAAGGAGCAGCACACAGAAAACAAACGAAAACAGGAATATCACAAATTAAATAACAAACCAAAACAAATACTCGATTCATACATCCACGCGGTAGATCAAAAACAGATATATATATGTATATATATATTTTGCAACGGGGGATTTTTTCTTTTTGTAAATTAAATACATAAACCACTTGACGCATAAAAGAGATCATGCGAGATTACAACAACAAAACCAGTTTTGGTTGTGTAATTTTATTTTCGCTAAATTGTATGCAATATCAAAACTACCAAAAACATAAATGTGTTCCGTTTCTTTTTGCGTGCTATTTCAATGCCCATCGAAATGTTGTTAGTTTTGATGATCTGAATCCGTTACTTCAATGCAAATTAAACAAATACACGTGTTGTATCTCAATCAAGGAATCTTTCAGAGTGGAAAGTAAAAAATAAATGAGAGCACATATGCTGTGCAACTCACACAAATGTAAATAAATTTCAATCGATTTGAAAGAACGATTTCAACAGAAACTGTTTTATTTTTTTCGTTATTCAATGCATCGAATTCAGATAAATGGGCCAAACAAATACTGCCAACGGAATGGGAAAAAAATTGGAAATACATCAAAAGCATTTTAGTTTTGTTTGTTCGCTTTTGTTTCGGTTTTCGTTTTGATTCTACTCAAATTTCAAATATATCTTACGAACGGAGATTTTGTCAATTTAATAATTCGAAAAATAACTATAGTTTCTACATCACAAACTCTGTACGGTTAACTCTATCGAATGCACGCCAAATTAGAAATCAAAAAAAATTCACAAAAAAAAAGTTTTTAACGTTCGATAACAACAAAAAAAATCATTTTTTTTCCATCAAAACAAAGTTTAATAGAGATAGAGAGAGAGTCTACAATTAAAAACAAGAATACGTTATGCTCATGAATCATCTTTGTAGGTTCAGAACAAACCTACGAAGATAGAGTGCATTTAAGGGGTTGCGTATTTGATGCCGACACCCAAAACTTACTAGTTGCTTTGCTATCATTATCACAGTCTTCAGTGAAAACTTTCTGCCACATAAATTGAATAAATCTTCTAACGATGGTCCCAACAGTTCTAATACCATTGCATTGTAGCGTCCGCCGCATGTGCCTAGATGATATACACGCGGTATGCCCTCTGCTTATATTGTATTGCATAATGCCCATGCCCATTCATATTTCGAGTATGAATCATCATCATTTGGTTTTTTCGATTTTATTTGTTTCGATTGTTTGTTTGTTTCGTTCGATGTTGAAGAGAGAAAAATTTAATTAAATTGAAAAGTTCAAGACAAAAGCCATAAATGCTTCATTCAATTTATAAGCTACAGAATACGTGTTAATTGCTCGACGTCATTTTATTTTATTATGATATTTTTGCAGAAGATATAGAGAGATAGAGAGTGAAAGAGAGAAAGAGAGCAAAAAAGAGAGATATATGTACATATATATGATATGTTGGGGACAGACATGTGATATGTCAATGTTGTATTACAATTAATATTGAATTTTCAATATTGATCAGAGAGAGAGAGCATAAAGATTATATCAAAATCAAATGGGAACGATGTGTAGATGTATTTGAAAAATAATAAAATATATGTATATTGAAGAGATTAAGGGAAAGTATATTGACGTTTCGAGAGCCGCCGCAAAAGGGAAAACAACAACAACAACAACAATATTACAATTACACAACGCTGTCTTACCGTGTGATCCTAATAATTTATAAAATCTATACTCTAAATGTAGTTGCGGAGCCTTTGACTTCATTGGCTCCATTTTTATTGCTACGTGCTCATTGTTGTAGAGATTTTTGCCTGTAAATAAAAGGAAACAAATGTATAAATATATTAAATCGCATTAGAACATGGCTTCTCACAATTTATAATAGTTTGTTTTGAATTATGCGACATTTTCCATTGCATTGGCCTTAATTCAACGAATAGAATTGGAGCAGATCAAGCGCATTTTATCTGCCAAATGTGAAACACACAGACCTTTAAATCTTTTCCAAAAAAACGGCTCTTGCGATATCACATACTAAGATTAGTCACAGTAACACTTTGAGAGACAAATCATTTGAAAATCTCAATTTCTGATAAGTATAATTGGAATATTTGAGTGATGTGATGATTGGCGGCCTTGTGACGCAATTCGCGCATTTAAATCGTTATCAACGTTGCTCAGGTCACATTATACAATTATTGTTTGCATTTCTTTTTATTTTGCGCTCTACGACAAATGTTTATAATAAGAAAATATGCCAGATTACAGAATCGTAATACAATCCGTCCAGATTGAATCGGGTGATTGCAAGCATTCTTTTTTACATTTTTTTTTTCAAATCGTAAATTACATTTAGATGAAACGGCATCACGTTGATTTTCATCGGTGCAACAAAAAATGACAAATAAAATCGATAAAAATCCATGGATACTGATTGGATTTAACAATTGCTGATCAAATTAGTTCTTTCCTTGAAATGTACGGTGTCAGATCTGGAATGGTTTTTACAATCACAAATATAACCTTGTCGCCATCAAATACATTTCTTACATTTTATGCGATACTGTCATCGTTGTATGAATTCAATGGATTATCGATCGAATTTGCAAATAGTGGATGTGCATTTATCCATCTGACGTTTGCGTGTGCGTGTTAGTTTTTCGTTTTCTTTTTTGTTGCTGACGATGAACAAGCACACACACAAGCCTTGAGATGTAGATTTATATCGACTTTTAGCCCGATTCCAGTTGCTCAATGTGTACGATATCGATTTAAGGGATCCATTTAACGGCAGATAAATACGGTCGATACTTTTCATTGGGATTATTTTCCACAGAATCCGATGTATAAAATTACCATAAATAAATAGGAAAATGTTTTGCTATTGAAATGTTATCATTTGACTTGATGTATTCTCTTTATTTCTGTTGCTTTCATTGTTTGTTTTTTTGTATTTGGTCAAATGAGCGCCATTGTTAAGTAAAAATATATAAAGAGGATTTTCTGCGATGTATTTTTCACTTGCAAAACGGCTCTTGCCATCATTAAATCGTAGACTATTAAAGCGAATTTTTTCTCTCTCTTAAAAAAAAGAAATCATTAGCTACACGATGAAGTTCTACGAAGTGCTTTTTCTCTTGTTTGTATCGCATCAGGTATAAATCGTCTTAAACGAACAAAAACACTCTCAAAGTCAAACAAAATCATTTTCTATGGAAAATACGATAATCAAAACCATTAAAAATAATCTGTGTGTATATTTTTCTTCTAAAAAACCCAGTTTGCTGTTGGTGAATTGGAAAGTTTGAAGCAACGAAAATTCTTGTTGGAAACTCAAGTTCAAACCATTGCACGAGAACAGCAGCAATTAGCTAATCAATTGATTCGAAATGGTGTTCGTCAAATGGAAAATTTTTCAAAACAACTACAAATCACTCAAACCGTACAGACACTGGCTGCAACTGCATTAGCTGCCAAAGGACTTAACGATGTAAATATTGAATGAAAATGCTTTTAGCAGCGTATATTCTTTAAATATCCTTAAATGAATGTTCATCTTCAACCAGATTCAACCAGAAATAATTGCATTTATCTCTAGCTCGTCGTTCATTCACATATCCATCATATATATTTTGCAATTTCCTATTTCAAGTCATTTCCTCCCAGTTGAATAGTTGTTCATTTGCATCTTATCTATATGCCATTTGCCATTTATTTCACACAGTTGAATGGTGTAGAACGTTTTGGTTTATCATCGAACATACGTCAATGTTACCAACTGAATAAGTTCACGTTCGGTGATGCAATTGGTACGGCTAGAACAACGGCCATGCAGTGCATAAACGATAAATTTAATGAAGGCAAAACGATTATGGATAAAGCAATAAATAATATTCGAACAGCGGCTGAGGATATAAACGGCGGTGCCCAATTGATAGCCGAATGCAGTCAATTTACAATTGGATTCCCATCGGTGGCCGGTTTAGTTGCAAAAGTCACATGCCTGACTAAGGTACGATGCGTGTAATAAGATTTTATTCCTTTTTCGTTCGCACCAATTTAAAAAGGCATTAAATATTTTCTTAATTCATGGCAATCCCTTAGGCAGTGCTTAATATGAAAAGTGGAGCCATTTTATTACCCATAAATCTGAGCCGTCGCGTTGTCGAAGCGAATGTTGCAATTAGCACCATTCAATCGGATATAATTAAATGTAATTTGGACATCTTATCAACGATTATATCACAATCAACGAAATCTGGTGAGGCCATTATTGACTGTATCAACCAAAATCAATCAACCAACGGTAAATGATCATCATCTAATCTGTTCTGCCTCCCGTCCTTTCTTGATGAAACCATGAAAACATTTCGAGGTACATTAAATGTACATTTTTATTTTGTTTTCACTGCTGCTGCTGTTTCAGCAATTAATTATTTACTGTCACTGCCACTATTTTATTCGTTAAATAAAAGACCCTCGTTAAATTGCATTGCAAATGGAAAACTATTTGAGAATATCGGATCGCATACATACAAATGTCATTTTTCACACTTACCTAGTCTTAGTTCACCAAAATTACCACAACCAATTTTCTTGCCCACACGAAAATTTGGTCCAACCATCAACATTCCGGATGAATTTACTGAATGCCTAGTCACGGGATACAATCCACTTGAAGACTTTGCTGTTGCACCAGCCGGATTTGTACCGCCACCCCCGCTACTTGTCAGTATGACCTCTGTACGACCACCGGTCGCGGCCGCTCCACTGTAACAAAAAAAAAAACAGAATAGAAAAAAATGAAATAAAAACGATGGAAATACACGCTTTGAATGAGCCAACGCCCCAGGCAACGAATTGCATAAAAAATGAATATTGTCTAAATGGCTATGTGTACTTTGCTCATGGATAAAAAATGCAAGCGATTTTCTTCACGCTCCAAATATTAGGATTGACTTGCTTTATTCAAACAAAACAAAACAAAAAATACAATGAAAATATCAAATAATCCATTTCAGCGAATTCAAAAGGATTGTGCATTGAAGGAGGATAAAACTTTAAACATGCATTAAACATTCATTTCAAATGGATTGAATAGAGAGAAATAAAAATGTTGTCAGCACGACCCAGTAAGCATGCTTTCAAATAGGGACATTCCGATAGTGACATTGTTCTTTCTGTCCAAGGAAATGGATCGAATAGAAAAATGAAGAAGAAGAAAATATATAAGAAACCGAAATTCATGAGGGTTGTTGGCCAATAATAAGTTGTGCTTGATTGACCTCCATGGAAAGGACTTTGGCATTCGATTCGTGTACTGAATTAAATGTATTTTCTGTGTCACAATTCGATGTTAATAAGCAATCGACAGATATACGAAATGTGTGCGTATCGTTGCCTAGTTGATTTATTCCCAGTCATGCCATGAATATGAACGGAAAACAATTGAAATGTGTAATAAATTTGGCGAAAAAACCAGGATGATGGAACGCGCAAGTTTTTATGGCGGCTATTTGCTTTAATGGCTTTCTGTAGTCCAATCGTATCATTTTTCCCAAGCGAATTATTGCTCTGTGTTCGAGAGCATATCATGTAGATATATTTGGCCGGCAGCAGATTGCTTTATTCTGTCGATGAACACACAAAAAAAGCGATCGATTCTAATTTCAGTTATTTTACGCTCGGTTTGGCCTTCCGTTTCACAAAATTCATTATATCACAACGTCTCGTTTGTGGAAATGAAATGTTCAAAAAAAAAAAATCATGAAATTTCTCGCCATTATCGGTTTCAGGTGAAAATCGGTTTCGTGTGGCCACAATTTTCTTCGATCGAACCCACTCTCGATGGCTGTCATCACGTTAAGAGATTCAATTTGCGTGTGAATATTGAATCAATACCATCATTGAACCATTCATCCAACCAACAGTACAGTACTTCAAGCCACTTCACTTGCAGTATAAATAACGTTGGTAATGATGATGACGCTGATGATGATAATAACAATAATCGTTGTTCAAGTATTTCAACGAAAAGGCTTTAATTATTATTCGCAAATGATGTGAAAATATACTGCGAATAGAATTGATTATAACATTGTACAACGATATGGACTTTTATTATTCGATAAAGTAGCGATGTGCTCTTTTTATCCGCAATAAAATGCACATTCAACAGCATGGACCCTTCCATTCAATTCATTTCCGAGTGGATTATTGTTTGCTGAATGATCAAAGGATTAAAATATGGATGCGGTCATACAAGGCTTTTATGATTATTTTTTGTGTTTATAACATGCTCCATTTTTTTTGTCGATGCGTCTCGTGCTCTTTTTGCTCTATCGCACTCTCTCTCTCTTTCACTCGCTCACTCGATCTCATGCTTAATTGGTATTATCATGTTTGAAAAAGGGATGAATGATATCATTTCCACGAGATTGTGATGAGGCTAGTCAAAATACATTGCGTAATATGTCTGCTTTCACATCATCATTGTTTTTAATTCGTACGTGCTTCATCGCATCATGTCTCTTTTATTTATTTATTTTCGCAAACATTTTTCTCTTTCTCTCTCTCTCTCTCTCATATGCATTTGTCTGCGTTGTTAACGATAAATTTAACGCGATATTTTTATGATGAGCTATGACATATAATATCTAGTTTATTATCATTTAATAACGAAATGTGCGTTTCATACATGACATGTATTTTTTCTGATGAAAACGATGTGTTTTTTTTCTTTTTTTATCGCTCTTATACACCGGAAAATGACGCAAAATCGACCCTTTTACTTTTTTGAATAATGTGTGTTGTTGTTGTTATTTTTTTTATGTAGTGAGTGTACGAAAATAGAAAATGCCTTGCCTGTCAATAATAAAAAGCACACAATCACAATTACGAATACATACACGCACGAACACATCGAAATTGTGTGGGAAAACGGCTGTTTTCAATCATTTGCGTTCCATATGAATATTGATTTTATACAATAACTTGGATAAACGAAGCAATGCCAAATTTGCCAACACACCCTTACTCAAGGAAAGCATATTTCGATGGAATATAAAATCAGAGACCAAAATAAGGCAAAATGTTTCACATTTAGCTTTTTCCTCGAATTTCATACTTGTGTTTACAGAGAAGAATACAATGTATTTCGGAGATGCTTTGAATATTTATTTCCAAATGTAATGCTATTGGAATGATTTTTTTGCTTTGTTGTCGGTATGATTGTTATATTATTAGATTCACTTCTGCAATGTATTTTGATTTGGTTCACACCGTTATGATGGTTAAAGAATATTTCAATAAATTGGAAATACAATCTGCAAATGTATGTGTTTTGTGCACATATGAGAACTGTGTGAGAAAACGGCTGATTTTTTTATCATTGCTCCCAAATGAGTATTGATTTTATACCATAACTTCGATAATAATTCAATGTGAAGGCAAATTTGCAAGCACACCCTTATTCAATGGCAAGCATATGTATCGAAGGAGCACGAAATCAGACAGCAAGATAAGGTGGGCTTTTGTTTCACCCTTTCGGTAATTTATTTGCTCCCAATGATTTGTAGCGATGTGATTCTTTCTATTATTCTTTTTTTGTGAAAATGTTTTGTTGTTGTTTTTTTATCGTCTTTTTACTACATTGACACGCGCTATTTATTCGATAATCAGTAAAAATTTTATGCAATGAGAACGGAACACAAAATCATATCAATCACTTTGTTGAATACGGAACTGACACAAAATAATTCATGCTCCATTCGGGTCAGTTGCGCGCGCGACAACAATCATTAATTCTATAAATGAGGCTTATGAATTCCTTCACTTTCAATATCATTTTGGGTCTTACGTTCGTCTATGACATTCAAAGAAGAATCGGTATTATTCTTTGGTTATTTAATTAACATAAAAACCGATATTTGGTTTCACTTTTATTTTTCTTTTGTGTATTTATTTCGGTTGTTCATGGCAATGTTTTTCTCCTCCCTCCCTCTCTCTCTCCCTCTATCGTGTTTTCGTCATGTCGTTTAGCACCATTCAATGGTAAAACGTTCACATTGAAGCTTTAAAGGTATCTCATCGATTGTTGTACACACGATAAGCCGCTTATTTAGAAGTCACATGAATTTCAGTTTAAATGCTGTAAATGTGAACGTCATCAAACATGCGACGAGACGGCTCACACAACACAGAGTGAAATGAAGACGAGAAAAAAGATCCACCAACACATACATTCGCTACACTAACAAAAAAAACAACCATTTTCAAACTATATCATTTCAATGCGATAAAAATAGATTTCCAATTAAATTGTCGTTTCTGGTGGATTTATTGTGCACGGGAACTATAAAACGGAAAACACTTTTGAGAAGAGAATGAAAAAAAAGCGAAACTAAAATCACTTGGTGGTGATATTAAATGTGAAAATCTTAGTTTTACTTTCAATTGTGCGAATTTTGACGTCATTGCAATTCAAATTAAATATTTCATATTTAATCTACAAATGGAAAGAAACTATCATCAGCTACGACAGATGTTGTGAATGTGTTTTTATTTTGTTCGTTTTTTTTTTCAATTCGTGTGGGGTACCTACACAGAATCGATGGGCGACACTTTGTGTAAACGTTTTGTGATGAAATTCATATTGTTCACAAACGACAATGTGAATATGAAAAAAAAGTATCAACTCGAGCCGGAGAACAAAAAATCAGATGAACTTAATCAAAAATTCAGAATAAAAAAAAAACAAACAAACAAAAGAGCGCTTCATCGATTTGATTCTTGTGTCATTGTGTGTACGAAGATATGAATTCGATTACAAATGGCAGATTTTCCATCAGTATTGGAAATGATATTACATTTCAAATGTGTGTTTTCGTTTTCAATAAACTTGACTTGAAATGCGAAATACACACTGATTTCATTTCCGTTTTCAATTTCTAGTGTGTTGTTCAGACGATTTTTTTTATTTTAATTTTACGATTGGATAGTGTTGTCATCGTCCACTTTCAATTTCCGTGCAGAACGTTCTCATTTCGAATGCAAACCGTTCCGAGGAAAAAAGGTCGATAGAAAAAGTTGGAAATCTATGTTCTTGGAAATGTGATTCTCATCATTGCGCTGTGATGAAACTTTATCGCTCTCGTTTCGAAAAATTGCCAACGGTTGTTGGGTAGATTTATTCGCGGTTCATTTATCCACCTTATTTCGAGCACTCGAGTTGAAAACATTGCTCTCTGCTACCAAGTTAATCGTTAAGCACATCACAAGAGTTGTAGATGATACGATGAACAAAATATTGGCATTCAAGTGCCAGAGGTAAGAAAAGTAGAAAAAAAAACACATCAATAATGCTATAGCATGGTATATGCGACGTCGTTTTTCTCCACATTAAATTGAATTGATCGGATGGTTATTCTTAATTCACAGAACAACATCAACAACAACGAGAGACTTTATACACTATTAATGGTTTGATGTATTTTTCATGTACACCATATTAAAGTTTAATTATTTCATTCGCAAGAACTAAAACACCTTGACCACACACTTTAACTTTCTTACGTCGAATCGTTATTGGATTTATTTATTTTTTTCGTTTAAAATCAGGTGTCGTTGGCGTTCCTACGACATTCGATTAAATAAACTTTCTTGTTAAGATCCTGCTCCATAAATAACACTAAATCACAATAATGACGCAGATTTATTTGCAAAGTTTTTCAAATGAATCATCCAATAATCTCTGCGCTTGATGATTTGAGAAGAAAAAAACAACAACAACAACAAAAATAATACAGTTTAAGCTTTTTCTGAAAAAACTTTTTTTCCGATTAATTGGTTTATCATGGAAATTTTAAAGCATAGTCTCTAGCTTGTTTAAAAATGTCCATTTCGGTTTCAAAAATTACATTTAAAAAAAATGTATTGTATTCGAAGTAAACTTGATACCCGAGTAAATGAGACGAAATAATAAAACGATTTCCAAATCAAGCGGAAAATACAACAATTTGCACGCTTTTTTTCTTCTTTTTGAATAGAAAAGTAAGCTTTTTTGATATTTGTTTGTGATGTATATTTGTTTTTAGCACATTGTTTTCGAACGTAATAAAAATTCAATGCACGCGTTGTTATCCATGCCACAAAACAAATCCAACTGAAGACACACAAAATCGAACGAATGTTAGTTGAAGACAAATTTCCAGAGCGCCCGCAAGCCGACTCTCTGCTCATTTTAATATTCCATTGTATGTGCACATTGTTATACACACCGTCATAAATAACAACTATTTTTATATCTTTGTTGGTGGTGTCTTTTTTCGTTCAATGTTATTTCGTATCATAACATTTATTAAGCAGATGCATAATGTGACCAGCTATACGCGATCAATATTTGCCTTAGTTTTTTTTCTGTGTTCTTTCTCTCTTTATTTTTATCATCCAGTTTGTGTGTGTGTGTGTGAGTTGGCGTGTTGTGTATGTATGGTGCGCGCCCAAAACAGAGAATCGAGAAACGAAATGGAATATCGTCTAGTATGTAAATATATGCTTCAATGATATGATGAGCGACGCGGAATATTCAATACACGCGACTACAAGACGATTGGTCACATTTGAAATGCGCACATGTTCTTCATTATTATTAATTCGTTTGGTTCTATTTAGTATTCGGTAGTGTTGTTAACTTCGATTTCTCGTGCGTTGCGGCTGTATGATGTGTTTCATGTGTATGCAAACAAATGACGCTGTGAATTTTATGCATATATGTATATACACAAGTTCGGTCGATGATTGGTGTATATTACAAACGATGTAACAAGCGAAGAAGACATTTCAAATGCGCACACCATTCAAGTGCTAAATAATTCGTTGATTAGACGCGTGAATAATTGTTTATGTATACAACATACTTGCATCTATTATTCGCACACGCCCGCCGCATTTCAACTGGCATTTGGCGCAAGGCATGTATGCTGTATGCACATCATTTGCAAAATGTTACCTCGTTAAAATATATGCAACAGCGCATATTCAAAATTCGAATAAATAAAATTCGATGCACTGCTTAAAACATTTGTAGCATATTCGAGATTGTTTAAGCACCGAATTGTTGCAATGATGTAAATGATGTAAAAGATGTAAATTGGACCCGGATGCCTCGGAGAAAAGAATTCTGTGTGTAGGAAACCCAACTAATTTCATTCTAATTGAAATGAAAAATGTTTATTTGCGGAGTGGGGTGTGTTCATTTTTTATCTGAAATCACGTGGTTCTACATGAACTTCGGTCACATGACAGATTCGTCTATTTTGAATTTATTTTTCAATAAACATTTGTTTGCATGCAAATTATCATCGTTGACGTATTTTGTTGTCAATGATTCACCATCTGGACAGAAATGTGTATGGTTGAAGGAGTAATCCTGAATTGTCGTCATCAATGCTTAGATGCGAATGTGATTAAATAAAAACACAAAAATAATGTCCAAATTGAGGTAGCGAATGCGATTGATAGCGTGCCTGAGATTGAATTAAATGAAGCGCATTGTCGTGCACACATAGGCCACAGTATGATAGATGAGCTCTTGAAATTGGGTTAAATGTTTTCGTGTCACATGCATGAAAACACACAAACAGCAACGAAAATCCAAAGTACAATGTCAAAAATGACATTTAAACCGCAATAAACTTTAGCTGGTGGGCATAACAAGTACATCAAATGCAAATATTGTGAATACGATTGACCGACCGGAAGCATGCCAAGATAAAAACCAACACGAACCAACGAAAATAATAACAATAACAAGGAGCTTCGTTTGTTGAGGTGAAGAAACACATATTAAAATTACGTTCAATATTCCAGCCACTTCTAGCCAATCCATTTTTTTTAAAATAAACACTAGACATATGCGGTGCAAATAATTTTGCTCGATACAAAAATAAGCGAATACTGAAATGGTATAAAAACTGAAAAGAAATTACCTTGTTTGTCGACTCATTTCACGATCGCGGTATGGTATATTCGTGCTGAATGGTATATTATCTGTATACATACAGATCAAATTGGTTGTCAGTTGTTGTTGTTTCTTTTTCAACAAACAAAACTATGCGTTGACTGGCTTATATTATTCCTTGGATCTTCTTCTATCTCTGAAGCGCACCGGTTTGCAAATTCCTTTGACTCTGACTCTTTTGGATTGTTGATGCGAACGAAAATAAAACTCCTGATGAATTGATCGAGTAATTCCACAAAAAATCACACCACATATACCACGCACATATAGAAACAGCACACACACGGCACACGCACAGAAACCATCGAGAAAGCCGACACCGTAAATTTTATCGTATTGTCCAACTGTAAATATAAGACGCCATCACCGTTGCTGTTCTTTTGATAATTTTTCTTTTCTTTTCTCTTTCTTTTTTTTAATCTTCGGCAAACAATACACACTTAAACAATTTCTGCTACTGCATTTATTTCTCTCTCTCTCCCTCTCTCTCTCGCTTGCGCGCGTATTTATTTATTATAATATTTTTTGTTTCGTTGCGCACCACTCTTTTAATTCACTGTTAAACGGTTCTTTTTCACCAAATGTTTGCATTACAACGGTCGCACATTGACAGTTCGATTGATTCGCATGGAAACAGTGAAGAAACTTTTTGATTTTCCCATTCAAACTTTATTTATTTTTTGTTGTTTTGCGTTCGTTTATCTGATGAGATAAGATCGATGCGCCAATAAAATGAAATTCTGTCCAATTTGGTTTCTTTACATCGAACGATTCTGATTTTACGCCGTTGATTGCTGTTGGTCGTTTACTTCTGCAAAATTCTTCTTCTTTTTATCCACTTAGTCTGTGATTCTGAATAAGTTGAGACCTGTTTCCTCTGCACACCGACTGGAACAAAAGAATATGAAAAGAAAATACAGAAAAAAAATAATTAGCACTAAACGTCTTCGGTTGTTGTTGTTTTGTGTTTTTGTGTTTTTTTTTTGCTGCATTAATTAATGGAAAACTATGACACAAACAGGTAAAGTAATCTTTCATTGGTATTTATATTTTTAAATTGCTTTCTTTTATGTGAACAAATTTCATATTTGAGTTATTTGTATGGTTTCGGTCGACAAGAACAACACATGCTCAATGGGACCAAATGGCCTCTCCATTATATTATTGGATTTTTGTGCTGCTATTGTTGCTGTTTGTTATTTCTTTTTTTGGACGAGTTGTCGGTGTGCTGGGCCTGATCGTCTGCAAAACGATGCATGCAAAAACAGGCACAAGCACGCAAACAACGGAAACTAATAAAAAAAACTGTCCAATAATTCATTCACATACAGACACAAACACATGTGTGAGTATATATTTGAGAAAAGAAACAAGTATCATTCCATTTTGTTCGGTTCGGCTGCTTTTCGCCTTAATTATCTACTTTTCTGATAGTCACAGTTGTGCAAAACACCTTTTGTAACTTAAGCACATCAATGACCCGATACATATGTGTATGTACGTTTGTATATTCATATTCGTAATGCATCTCTATTCAACGGCTGTTGTTCGATCAAAACAATCGACTTTTGCTTCGACTTCTATTCCCTCTTTGTTGTTCATTTTCTTCACATTGGCGTGGCAAACGCATTTCAAGGCACAGAGATAGCGGAAAGAACGAGAAGAAAAACTGAACAGACAAACACACATGATATCATATATATATATATAACATTGGACTGAGGGCGATCCGTACGCCTCAACACATTCAAGACAACTGGTGCCAATTCCAAAGAAAACGGAAATATTTTTTTATATTTCTATTCGATTTATATATATTTGTAGTGCAGAGTAACTCGCATCAACGGCGTCGACGACTAAGATTACAATGTTGCTGTAGAATCATCATCGTTGCATGAGAGCTCTGAGACCGAGCCCGTTGTCAGCATGCATAATGCGAGAGACAGAGTGAAAGATCTGTGTGATTTATTTGGTTTGGTATGTGTTTGGTTGGGTTTGCACATGAATCATAGCCCATTAAGTTTGAACATTTTGCCATTTTACTTAAAATGAAAATCAATAGGCCTTAAACCACCAGCAACGACAATGGGGCTTTTTTTTGTTCGAATGAACATACCAGGTAAACATGGTAGAAATCGATATTTTGTGTTGTAGTTTGTTTTAGGGAACACAACCCATTGAATTGATACCATATTTCATTGAACTGTCTACTCAATCGAAAGCAATGCCAGTTTGAGCGTTAAACATTGGACTTATATTGGTTCAATCGAACACATTCTGTACATATATGTATCGATCAAGAGCCACATGCATGCGGGCTAAGCCCAACAAAGACATATGCATCGACTACACACATTGTTGTGAAAATGTCGTGCGAATCACATTAGCATAAGATAGGCGACGAAAGTACTCTCAGCCAAGAGTTTTATCTCTTTCATTTCTATCTCGGTCTCGATGTGGCTGTTGCCATGTAAAATGACATTTACAAAATGAGGAGGTCTTCTACCTACGACCACGACGACAACAACGGCAGGCTTCAATGCTGCACATGAGTCGACAACTTTTGAAATGATGATCAATTTACTGTACACAAAAATCTCATTCGTTTCAAATGACATTGCATATAGATACCACATCTTCTGGCGTACGTTTTTTTTTTGTTCCAATGAATTCTATGTTTTCTCTCGATTTTCTTCGCAGTAAAATCTTTGCACGCATGTGAAATCGTTGCCCATTTGTTTTTTTTTTATTTGGGAAAGGAACATTTTGCGTTATCAAATGAGACCGTATCATTTACGCACAAGAGAAAAATAAATGATCGAAAAATTTGAAATGTGATAAGATAATGCCCCATTAGAAATGTATAATCAGGCATGTTGCTAACAATGCTCCGGACGGATAAATATTTGCACATACGAAAAATTGCCATGCGAAAAAAAACAACAACGGTTTTACCAAACTCTTTTGAATTCTAGCCTAAAGTGAATTACGAATTCTCAATAGAAGATTTTAGTGGAAAATACCAAGTGGGTTTCAAATGATAATTAAATATATCGAGCATAATTGCAAAACATTATTGCATGCATAACCAAATGCCACACAAAAGGGCAGACACACACATATTCTATGTATTCATTACTTCATTAACATTATATTCATGTGTTGCGTTATCGCTGGCCTGTGTGTCTTTGTTTTGTGGCCAAAGTGCTGCATTGATAAAAGTTCGAGCCAGCAACAAATTTCCATTGTGCGTGATATAGTGTGAATGGTTTGTGTGCTGCATTGTTGTTTTCGTGTGTGTGTGCTTTATTTTTTTTTTATTTCGCTCTCAGTGAATGAACCTTTTTCAGATAATTTGCAATGGTTAATGAAAAAATAGTTTTGGTAGCTTGGTTAGCAAATGGCACAAACATTTTTGCTTGTGGTGCCGAAACTTTTCTGGCCGCAACTCTTGCATACAGTTCGTCATTTTCGTGTGTATTTTCGAGTTGTTCGAGTACATTTTTGACTCGAATTCACTTGGGTAAAAGATTTCATTAAAATAAATGCCAATGAACAATGGTTTTTGAAGTTTCAACTTCAAAACGAAACTATTTTGTGAATAGCTTGCACCACTGAAATTTATTCTATGACCTCGTAAAAATGTGGATGAAATCAACAATAAATCGTAATAATTTATATAATGACTGCTTTGTGAGTGTTGTTTTTCTCTTGTTCGTTTCGATCACAACGCTTTGTTCATTCGCAACCACAAACGATTGTATGATATGATTTAGAAAAGACCAAAAAAATATGGCAAAAATTGAAGCAGCACTGGTGTATGTGATTGTATGAGTGTGTATGCGACACACACGGCTATACATCATACATAAAATCGATATATTTTTTTACATATTTGCCATACAAAATTACATATACAGTGTAAGTAACAAAACCGGTTACTTTTTCATGTTTCTTCCGTTTCTCAATTTATTTTGAGGGTAAACGCTTTGAAATAACAACAATAAATACACGAGTATTTTTTTTTTTTTTAAATATATCACATTTCAGTATCAACACCGACTCACACAAAAATGACAGATTCATTTTTCATGGACGCGCTATAAATTGCTACTGATGAATTCATTTAAATTTATCTATTATTATTTTATGACTTGATACTCTCTTGCTGTATTAATAAATAGCAGTCCGGACCATGAAAATTGAATTCCGGCTTTTTTTTATTATTTATTTATTTTTTCATCCATTAATAAACACATAAATATCTTTATTTCAATATTAGTGCGTCAATGCAATTTTAAATCCAATTATGTGTCGTTGTATGTGAAATAGCTTAAAAAACCCTTTTATTTCGATACAAAGCGTTCAGTTGTAAGAATACTAGATATATAAAAATAATCGACCCCTTCCACTTGCTACATCTGTCTCGTTCTCTTGCCTTTCATGCCGTCTCACTCACTCCGAACGCACGCACACATCTGTTTGTGTGACTGAAAATGCCGGCCGTCACACACAAATACAATTACAATAAAACAAGTCAGCCGAACGGTGTTCGATTTTATTTTAGTCGAATAACAATAACAACGACAACATAATGTGATCACACAAAGGCACTATCTCGCCAAAGGTAGACATAGCGTGCGTCATTGAATTAGAGAGTTTTCATTGTGTTTACACATCCAAAGTGGCTCGTATGAGTTTTGGTTGCAATAGGTACATCGATTTTTAACAAGAAACACTTAATTTGCCATCTATTTACATTGATTTTGATAAGAAAAAGCACATTTTTCACCCGAGTAATGTGGCGGGTGCTTTGTCATTGTCGGTTTTTCAAATAATTTATATTCCAAATCGATAATAATCAGTCGATGTAGTTAGAAAAAGCAGGTCATTTGATTATACATAAATCGTTCAATAAAAATTACGAAAAACGTATATTGCTGCGATTAATTGAGCCTGCAAAATTGTGATGAAGTCATGAATCAGTCGAATGAAATTGCCGAGAAAAATAAAATGAATAAAAACGATGTCGTCAACGTCGACCGACAATATCCAATTTTGCTCAGATTATCAAGAAGAAACAAAAGCGATAGCAAACAATGAATAACGACTCGGCTCGGCTGGAGTCGCTGTTTCTATCAAATTGGTAGCCGGATTGCGATTCGGTACTTATCGGGCAAAATTAAATAGTTTTTCGTTCTGTTTACACATAAAATGGATGGTGAAAATGACCCTAAATGTGTGTCACTATGTGCACATTTTGTTTCATTCTTTTCATTGGCAATTGTCGTCGTCGTCGTTCTTTTTCTCATTCGCATGCCATCTTGAACATCAACCTTCACGATTTCTTCAGCCAAACGCAATAAATTCATGTTCAGCATTAAAAGACTAAATTGTTGTGTGCCTTTTTTTGCGCAATGTGTGCATGTTATGTCACTTCGATGTAATTTCATTTAACGATGAAAAGCATTCAGATGCGCTAATAAACAACAACAAACGAACCGAGCAATAAAACGGTGCGGATTACTGTACTGTAGTCATCATTGCGAGCAATACGAAAATTTTCAATCAGTTAAGAATTGCTTATGAAGAAGAACGGCTTTGCTGAAACAATGTGTACAGCAAATGAATAAGAATGATGATGTATATAGATTCTTCTGTGTGTATGCTGTGGTGCCGCGTATGCGACTGTATATGTACACATGATCAGCGCGTTGATGAGACGGGATGCGATGTGAAGTGGAACGGTTTATGAACGCAAGCGAGCGAGCAAAGAAGACACAACATAACGAACACAAAAATCACACAAAAATGATAGCATTTAATGTAATTATTTCAACAAATTATGTACTCGTATCGAGTCTGCTGCTGCTTCTTTTGTGTGTTTCTTTCATCGTTTCGGATTGTTTACGTGGTATTTTGCCGGTTACTTCAAACCCAATTACCAATGCCGTATGCGGCGACACAAACACAAATCGCTCACAGACAAAGAGAAAATAGCGTAAAACGCATTTGTTTTTAATGAGTGCAAGTAGAGCAATAACAAAATGACGAGTTTCCAAAAAAAAACCAAACTCAGTTTTGCATTAGACATTCATTACATTGTATTTTAATGAATTTCTATGGTTGCAATTGTAGAGCGTGTGAGGGAGGGGATGGTTAGAAGGAAGAGATATAAAATGGATGATGAAAATAGTCAACATGAAAATATTCCAAACTGAATTTCAATCAAATATCAGCAAACAAATGTTTGCTGCAATAAATTCTGGTTTTGAAACGAGTCATTCAAATGGTTTAAGTTGATTTTGTATAACTCTGGAATTAACATAAATTCTAATGCGAATGCGGAATCATCGCAGAGAAATGCCAGCAATTCAGGAATCGTATAATTATAATTTGTTGAATAAACTGTTTTCCCATACATTGTTCTTCTTCTTTTTCTTCTTTTTTTATTTCTCAATTCGAATTTATTGCTTAATCGATGCGCTCAAATCTTGTTATTTATCGCAATTTTAAGTTAAAACGATTTGCCATCGGATTTTTCTCTATGTGTGCTCTTAAATCGATTGAAATTGTGATGTTACGACTCACTAGAGAAAAGCAGAAACCCAAAAAGAAGAGAAATATTTGTACAATCCACGAACATATAAAATTGGAAATAAAATGAACCGTACTGTATTACAATACAAACACAAGTAGTAGTTGTCTATAATGGCGTTCGGTTGGTACGCGTACATATAGTAGAGTCCCGATCAACGTTGTTATGACTTTTACTAACTGCTCAAGTACTTTTATTGTGGAAATTGCCATTGAAAGTCATTTCTAAAAAAATGTATCCCATTCTTGACATTTACTCAATTACAAAATTTTATATATGTATCGTGTTTCTAGTCTTTTTTTTGTATGAAAAAATAATAATAATAATAATTTCGTCGATGGTGTGTGCATGTTGATTTTCCACTTCGGTAGTTCGATCGAATGTTTACGTGATTTAGACACGACATAAACCACTATCGCCCAAACCAGAAGACACACATTAACATAAACGGAGAAAAAAAACAAGCAGCAACCAATTCGAAACATGTATGATATTCATATGAAGAATGGATTTTTCACGCTAGAAACATATCGTGTCTGTGTGAAGATATATTCGACACACACACAGTCAATACACGTATTATTTTAACTTGTCGCTGCTTTTTATCCCTTGCCCCGTTCGTTTTTCGCCTTTTTTTTCATTTTTTTACTTAACACCAGAAAAAAATAACTCAAATATCGCATGGATGTGTGTGTGTGTTGTAATGATAAAACACAAGCCGTAATTAGATAGATTGTCATGAAGTGTCATACCGAAAACAGTTAAAATGGTTGACGAAAAAATCTTTTGCGTCGATTATGTGTGGATGAAATGATTACGCACGATTTTAGATAAATTAGATGTAATTAAATCCATTCGATGAATGTGAATGGCATTTTGAGTAATTCGATCGCTTTGTCACTGGAAAATCGACCACACGCCATGACAAATTAGCTCTTCATTTTTTTTCCACCTTTTTATCGCTTGCTTTTATCTTGAAATTAGACATCGATTTTTTCTTCTTCTCTTCTGTCAAGTTAATTGGCCCTGTTTGTTTCACCTATGATTCTTATTTAATTTTTATTCAACGAAAAGAAAAAAAATAAATAAATACATACACTTTATAAGTTTCGGTGTGATTGTGGTTAAATTTTTCGTTCGGTTGCCCACAATGCATACGGTTGAAGCGATGAAGGTTTTTTTCCCTTCCAATCACAGAGAAGAATGTTGCAAACTAGAAGTTTTATATCACTTTTTTCGTGTAGCCACCATTTTTACACAAAACACTTGAATTTTCTTTTTTCATATTCGTTTCGATATTGTTCGCCTTCAACAAATGTGGGTCTAATTGAAGTTTATCTTTCTTTCTTGGTACTCTGTGTAAATCTCGACTTCTTCTTATTATTTTTTTTATATATAATATATGCTCTTTGCTCAATACATATTTTTTCCCTGTTCCTTGTGCGAATTGATTATTAAGAGCACTCGCTACATGGTCGAAATGTTGTCCATTGTGTGTGTTTTTTTTTCTTTTCTCGCCTGTTTGGTAAACTGTAATTGTTTTTGGATATATTCCATGCACTTTTTCACAATCACATTGAATAGATATAGATAGTTTTTTACACACTTGAAATCAATCTAAACTAACTAAAAAAAGAAAAAGAAAAACGAAAAGAATATGTCTGCCAGTTTTTGTGTGGAGAGCGAGAGAGTTTTTAATATGTAGTTCGCCTTCAGTGTGTCGTTTTGGGCGGACGCAAATTGTTTTATGTTCGCGTACGTATGAAGTGTGTTTCGTGTATGATGGCTTCTTTCATACGCTCTATGTTCTCTCTGGATGTGTGCATGTATATGTGACAAAATTGAGAGATACTATAAGCTTATTGCCCGATGCAAATACCTCAGTCACATAAACATCGACACACATTGAGTGTTGTTGTGCATTGAAACAGATCAGCGGAGCATATGTATGCGAGTGTATTGGTGCATGTATATATATGACGATGAATTTTTATAGCGGTTCATATAGGGATTATTCATTCATAATATCGACAGTTTTGTACAATATTCAAATAAATTCCATTCAATTTTGATTATTGAATAATTTTTTTATTTTTTATTTCGTCACATTTATGATGAAAAATGAAAATCTTTCACAAAAAAAAAAATCGTTTTCAACGAAGAAACGCTCTCTCATTTTCAAATAAAAAAAAGTTGTACTAATCATACAACAACCACCACCACCAGTACCAATGCAACGTTGTGTGCGTTCATTGAGAGAGTGACGACCAGTTTAACGCGCAATGACTCATACATCTGGTGCATATGGTTTCCTCGTTTCAAATGAACAAAACGCTCACATAAGTATCCAATTAGATGAATCTCTTTCTTTCCGCAATATTCATCGTTTATATGCAAGTGTGTGTGCGTGTGTGTATTGGTGAACGTTTGACAGATTCCTTCTTTTTTTATCTTGTTTCATTTTTTTCCTTCAGTATTTTGACATTTGGCATGAATTAGACTAAATGCAACACTTTGAACGGTGTCGCTGCACAACGGTATCAACGATTATGTTTTGCAACTGCATTCGTCGTAGACAGAGATGACAAACTCCCTCGCGCTGAAAATATATGAAAAATAGGTCATTGCCGTTTTTGATTATTATCCTCTTACAAAACCATCAATTTTCATTATCAATGGATTATTATTATCAACGATTTTGAAATTAATAACTGAAAACATATATCAACTCAATGGAGAAAACAACACATGAAGAGAATGAAACAATACACACAGTGAGCAATAATTTCCTTTGAAAGGTTTTATTGTTTTAATTCATAAGTTCTGGGGAGTTTTCGAATACACAGTGGAGCTTAAAATTGAGCACAGTTCATCATGATCTTATCGATATTTCTTCGTATCACGCGAAAGCGTTATAACACAGTTATTTTTAAACACACGTCTAATAGAGCTGGATAAGCCGTGTGGGAACTGTATGAATTCGAACTACTGTTGTCGATTTTTACTATAAAAAAATTTCATAGCAATATAAATGACTATTACATCATTGCTTACAGAGAATACTTTTCAACAAATAATTTTTAATTTTTAAGGATTTTTTATGAAACGGTGTGCCAAACATTAAATTCGATACCTTAAAAAAATAGAACAATAGTTTTAGTTCGTTTGTCTCTTTAAATTCCGCCAAGACTGCATTTTATCCGAAATTCGAATTGGTCGTTAGGTCATTTTATGTTATCTGGATTTTTTAAAATTTGAATTGAGAAATCAACACAAGTAATTTACATAGATTTTATATCGTTTTATCATTCCAATATCAAAACAACACATTTCTAATGGTAGTCTTAATTACCAAAAGTCCAACTCTAAGCACTTCTTTTCAATCCGAATTGTAATAGAGATGAGAAATTGAATACCTCTACTGATCTTCGGGTTTGTTTTTATTTCGATAGTGGCGTTTAGTCGTAGAAATCGAGCATTCATCGCCTTCAATCATGAAGATACAGATTTTGATAGGCTTTTGAATACAAACTTACCATCCGGAGTGTATTGCGACATAATTTCCGGTCAACGAGATGGTGAAAATTTTCTTCCAGCAAATTGACCGGATGGTCCACTGTCCAAAATGAATTGATAATGGACTAAAGTCAAATGCCAATCGGATCTTTATTAAAGCAGTTTATTCGAAATCAATAAAAATCGATTAAAATTTAAAAAATATTCGAGACGAAATTGCGGATTGAATAAAATATATTCGCGAACAGAGAATGTTCATCAACAGCGATTCGGTTGTCAAGACCAGTGTAAATGATACGACGTTCTTCCAAATATTTGGTTACGACATCAGTATCAATGTTTCCTTTCCTGCGAATCATTTAGAATAAATAAATTCCATTGGAAAAATAGTTAAAAATAGAAAATAATCACATACTTATGGTTTTTTTTGTGTTTTGAAATAATATCAAACGCGTCGCCGCCCTCAGCAATGAATGACGAAGTTATAAATTTGTAGTACTTTTTCGGATCCAATGGTTCATATCTGGGAACTCGGCGGACGTCATTTGGCATTGCTAGCACTTCAATTGAACGCACTCGATTGTTTTCTTCATTTGTCGGGTTATAAACTACTCGCATACCTACAAAATGTTTGATACATTTGGATTATCCATATTTATACACTCAAAAAGGTAGAAAATATTTTAATTTTACCAGAAACTTGCATGAAGTTTCTCTGATCATTTTCCGACGAAAATGCCTTCGCAGCGAATTCAAATAACTCTTTCACATGTTCACCCAGCAAATCAAAAGTGTCGATCGTATTTTCAAACGGCATAGTGGTGGCCAAATCCATAAAAGATATTGCTAAAATTGGTCGATCGAATGATATGATCATTTTGTTCAACTAACAAAAAAGAACAAACTTACGGCCAGCACCAATTTCAGTTCGAACACCCCCACAATTGATGATACCAATAATCGGTTCGGTCCATTGATTTTCATTGCGGCCGCTTAATTCAGTTATATAATAATGAACTAAGGCATCGGCCGCAAAATTTCCCAAATTACATTCTTTCGTGAAGCACGACGTTATTTTCAACGGAACTTTCGTGTGGCCAAGAACTCGCTTTCCTTTTGCATCAATTACTTCTTTCCACGGTGTAATGGCGTCCATTACATTGGAATCTGACAACAAAAACATACCGAAAATCAAACATATTTTGAGACTTGAGACGATTCGATTACATCAAAAAAATGATTTAAAATAAATTTCAAACCTGGAACAATGTCATGGTCCAAATATTTTGGATTGCCACTCCATTTGGCTACATTTCCGTCTTTATCAAAATAAACGGTCAGATCACCGACGTATTTCCTAAAATCACAAGTATTTTGATTAAAACGATCGTGTTTCAACCGATTCAATTACTTACATGTAAGCTGAAGCATGAACAATTAGCACTTTGTGTCCATCACTTTCAACGACTGCCGGATAAAGATCACTTGGATGATCTGGTCCGGGCGGTTTACTGCCTTCTTCAACTGTGTACATAAAAGTATGCGAATGACCACCAACAATAACGTCAACGTATGGTGCAATCGCTTTCGCGATTCTATAGTCAATGCTCAAGCCACAGTGCGATAATACGATAATGATATCAACACCTTGATTTTTCAATTTTTCTGCCTCTTCTTTGATCGCAATCTCTTCTTTTCTAAATTGTAGTTTGCCCACATTTGCAAGTTCCTAAAATCAAAAATGATTAGATCAATCGGTTACTAACGATAAGATGAATTCAATGACTCACGTGAACTGTACTAATTAAAACGCCAATCACACCGATTTTGCGTTCGTAACGATCGATCACAATTGATTTTTTATATTTTCCTTGGAATGTTGGCTCAAATGTATCAATTACATTGGCCAGAACAACTGGAGTCATTAAATTCTCCATAAACGGCACCACACCAGCAATACCATGATCGAATTCATGATTTCCCAATGTCTAAAATATAATTCAATACGAATAAAAAAATAAATAAATTATATGATATAATTTGAAACTTACAATTGCATCAGCCGGAAGCATATTCAAAAATTGAGCTGTTACATTCCAACGACCGAGCGCATACCTTTTTTCAATGGATAAAATTGTAAAAGAAAATGAAGATGGTGAATGCCAAAAAACTACATACCAAAGTGTTCCTTGGAAATTATCGCCAGCATTCAAGTAAATTGGATTCACAGCATTCTCCAATAAAGCTCGGATCATTTTTACAGCCCGGGCGTAACCACCGATACAAATTTCAACATCTTTGCAGGTTGTTGCCATTTCATTTGTCTCTTCAAATCGTGCATGAAAATCGTTAATATGAACTATTGTCACGGGGAATAAATCCTGTTCGGTTGAAATAACTGTGGGCTTGGATCCGGTAGCAAAAGTATGTCGCACGTACGATGCTAGCGCGACAGTCAAAATTATTCGAGCTATGATCGATACCATTTTTATAAATTTAAAAATAAGCAAAAGACAATGTTCCGTTTGAGACACTTTATTTATACGAAAAATTTGCCAAAATTGTCCTATTGATAAAATGACCAAATCACATGTATTATCTTATAAAAGATTATAATAATCTTACCTGATTGAATCGAAATCATAAATTATCAATGAAAAACGTTTTTTACGCAGTCAGTTATCACTTAATAGAGTAGAAATAAACTGCGCAAATCGATATCATTTCACACTAATCTAATCTCATATAAACACAAAACACAATGTATCAAATAAAAAATACGGTTAGAATTGACGAAACAAGCGTAAATTCCAGAAATTCTTGAAATTTCTTCAAATTCAAATTTATTGACACATTTGTCATTGCACAATATTAGAATTTTTTTCATTCTTTTTTCACATGTAAATATTTCATTTAAAAAAAGGAAAAATACCATTAAATCTCAAAGTTTTTTCCGAAAAATCAAAATTTTTCATAAACGGTCTGTAACTATCGTGTGGATTTTCGGTTATTTTCAAAAAACACAATCATATCTAAGCTTGTACTAGTCCGTACACTGTTAAAAAGAACAGTCGTACCATGTGACATATGTTTGACAGGTTGTTTGAGTCAAACAGTTTGACAGTTATTACATAAACAAATGCAAATATTACATTTTTTTTTCTAATTTTAGTTAATTTTCACATTCGATAAAAAACAAGATAATTATTTTAAATACAACAATTTAAGAAAATGCAAGTATCAAATTTATTAACGAAATCAGAGAGTTTAGTGCGCTTCCAATGCATCTACCGTCGTTATGTAAGTAATAAATTTGTGCCGCAGCATCAACCAGCCACGGCAAAGGAAGTGCAAAAATTAGAAAATTTTCTCAGGGACAAGCAAAGAGTTTTAGTTTTAACGGGTGCAGGCGTTTCTACGGAAAGTGGTCGGTATTAAAATAAAGTCTAAAAAAATGGTTCTCATTCAACATTTTACAAATTGTTTTCAAAAAATCAGGAATACCAGATTATCGTTCAGAAGGCGTTGGATTGTATGCTCGCAGTAATTCGCGTCCGGTGCAACATTTGGAATTTATTCGTTCGCCAAAAATTCGACAACGGTATTGGGCGCGGAATTTTGTCGCTTGGCCACATTTCTCGAATATAAAACCGAATGAAACACACAAAGCATTGGCTCGGCTCCAACGCAATGGTATAATCGGATCGATAGTTACGCAAAATGTTGACAGACTTCATACGAAAGGCGGTAGCAAGGACGTTTTGGAGTTGCACGGTTGCGGATACAAAGTGATTTGTTTGGGTTCTCATTGTGACTATTACATAGACAGGCACGAGCTGCAATTGATTTTCAATGCGATGAATCAAAATTTAATGGATGAAGTTGATTTGATGCGGCCAGATGGCGATGTTGATATCCCTCAGGTTTGCATCCCTTTAATTTCAATAAAAAGAAATGGTTTTCTCTCATAAATTGTTTCCCTTTTCGTGAATTCACGTAGAAATACATCGATTCATTTCGAGTGCCAGATTGTCCTAAGTGTGGTGGCACGCTGAAACCGGAAATAGTTTTTTTCGGCGATAGTGTGCCAAAGGATCGTGCAGAAAGATTAGCGAATTTGGTGTGCAACGCTGATGGAGTTTTAATATTAGGTTCTAGCTTGCAAGTGTATTCGGGATATCGAGTTTTATTGTACAGTCATGATTTGAAAACGCCGATAGCGCTGGTAAATATTGGCACGGTTCGTGGCGAAGATAAAGTTCAGCTGAAAATTTCATCCAAATGCGGTGATGTAATTCCCAAATTGTTTCTTCAATCGAATTGAGATGAATAAAAAAACATCCTTTTTACAAAAAAGAAAACAAATTTTTTTTTATTTGTTTATCTTGCGTAAACACTTATTTTTCTGTTTTTAATAGTTCCTGTTTCTTATTATCTAAATGAAATCATTAACGATATAGTTTTGCTTAATGATTACTATTTTTGTGTTGGCCTTTCGGTGTAGTCAATTGAATATTTTTCCCTTTTTTTTCTATTTATGATTTTTGTTCTTCTCTCCGTTGATTTTTTTTTAATCATTTTACTTGTTCACATTAGAATGTACAACGTTCAATGTTCTAAATGAAACACCTGCTGGTTTCATGTGTTAATAATTTTCATAAAGAATTGTTATCGCTTTTTGAACAGACATTGTTTGGTGTAATTCAAAGAGATAATGTGGAAAATGCGCGCTTTCTCATTGATACAAAAAAAAAATGTTCGAAATTCAAATTTTTTGTATTATCTTATTAAGCTTTTTGAGTAATTTTCGTAAAACTTACACATAAACTTAAATGTCCAATGTAAATGGTAAATTGTAACTACAAAATTAAAAAAAAGATGATTGATTCACCCAAATAAAAAAGGTTCCAAAAAAATTATGAAATTGGATCGAATCAAATGAAAATAAAGAAATTTGCTATCTTTTTTTTTTGTTATGTCAGAAAACAACAACATGAGACAAATGAATGTAAATTGATAATATTTTTTTGCTTTGAGTGTGTGTGTTTTTTTTCCTCCGGTTTTCGTATTTTCTGACGTTTTTTTTCTCGTGAGTTCACAATCGAAATCGTAAATGGTTAAAATACACTGACAATATGGTTGGTTAAATTACTAATCGGTTGACAATTACATGAAGTGTAGTAAATGTTTCTTTTACAAGAAATATTCGGTTTGTGGTTTTTTCGATGGAATGCCTCGACTCTCTTGCGGTGCAGCCTCAAATATTATGAAATTTCTATGCAGATGATCGTTCAGCTCAAGTATAGCAGCCACATTTCCACATCTGAAAAAAATCAATTCGATGAAAAAATCGTTTTTTTTTCCTTTCAATATTTTGGATTTTTGATTTCACAAGATCACTTGGATTACATTTGCTTCGATTGAATATATTCAAATGGTTTACCTATAGCAATAATTTGGTGCTGACCACACGGTCAAAACAGTCTCATTGAAATGCCATTTGTATCCTTCCATAACCAATTGATGCGCCCGACAAATCATATCAATGTCGTTTGCATTGTTGAACTGTGTCACCACATCTGATCCAAACAAGTATCCAGCACCGCGTGGAGAAACTCCCCATCCAATTGTATCTAAAATAGGATTAAAAAAATGATTAAGATCCGTTTGAAAATGTGCGATTTGTTATAAATAATATACCCTCTGGATCGCTCCACAATAGATCACACATTGGGCCATCGTGTGGAACCTCTTGTTTGCGATCAATTGTTCGAATTTGATCTAAATACTGTATCGATGGACTCAAGCCGCCGTGCACGCAAAATATTTTCCCATCAATGATAGCCGATAAACTTAAGTAATCAAAAATTTCTGTACAATGTCGCCATACATCGGTTGAACCATATTTGCGTAAGCACTCATCATAAAAACCATACACCTGAGTAATTTGTCGCGATTCATGATTGCCACGGATTAATGTTATTCGATCTGGATAGCGTACTTTGAGCGCCAATAGCAATAAAAATGTTTCTACACTGTAATAACCACGATCGACAAAATCACCCATAAACAAGTAATTCGTTTCGGGAACATCGCCGCCAACCTTAAACAATTCCTTGAGATCATAAAATTGCCCATGGATATCTCCACACACCTGTACCATTCGAAGAAATAACAAGCATTTTTCATGATTACGTTTATTTTTTTGGCGGATAATTCATTCACCGTTGTAAAAACGAGAATGAAGCCGTTGAACGTGTGTTGAACAAACAAATGAAAAGCAAACATACCGTAACGGGTGAATCGACACGTTGAACGTTTCCTTCTTCGACAAGAATCTCCCTTGCTTTGGCGCATAATGCCTTTACTTCGCTTTCACGAATTATTTCGCATCGTTTTAGCTGTTCAATTTGTCGATCTAAATCACTGTAATCCCCCATTGCCTGATAACCTTTGGATTCAACTGTAGATTTTGTTTGTAGATTTGGTGTTTCGGCGGGGCCCTTTATTGTCTGTCCGATTTGGCAAAAGAACACTCAATCACAACAGTCGTATCAAATTTTGGAGTAAATTTGTACGACTTGCTACGACTGATATGTTTGTGTCAATTGCTTGGCGTTTCTTTCTTCTTCTTATTTTTCGGTGTGTATCCTCTTCGTATTTTATTTCTGACTAAAAAGCGGGAAAAAAATCATCGAACAAAAATCATTTTAAAGCTGAGTACACATTGATATTGTCTAGACAACATATTATTCTACGAATAAAACGTTTATTCAAATTGCACAGGAAAAACAAGAAAAAAAAAACACATCGTTCTACAAATGGAAGAGAAGTAGAACAATTTGACCGTAAATCCACCAACACACACATTGAACGCTTACCTCTATAATTGCTGCTAGCGTCTTTTTGGCAATGTTTTTAAGCAATGTGTTAATTTAAAATACGAAATTATTAGAAAATGTGTTGCATTTTTACAAATAAAATCAATTGAAACTAATGGCAATGAATTAAAATAAAAAGTTTGCAAATGAAATATTATAAAATTGGTTTCTTTTTCTCTCTCTATATCGTCCACTTTGTGAATACGTTGTGTTCGACTGCGGTGCGTTTGGTGTAATATTTATTATTCTCTCATTGTGTGCTGTGTACGCTGACGGGAACGCCATACGATTTTGGGCGCCATTTTAACTGCTACACATGTAGTTGTGCACAAAACTAGAGAGAGACAATGGAACGTGTGAACGCAACAGACAGTGCGTCATCGATGAAACGCAAGCATACACTTCAAACAATGTGAGTGTGTGTGCGATGAGAGAGAAGCAGCTATGGAATACCGATCTGGCCAACCTGGAAATGTGTGTGTTAGAGAGAGAGCAAGCGAGCTTGATTTGTACAACACCGGCAAATATGACTTTAAGTTCGTTCAATGTTGCCGTTGTTATTCATCAAAAATGTTTTTGGAAAAAATGTGATTTCGAACAGTTTTAAAATAAAGAAAACTTATTCAAGCCTATGATTTAATTTTTTTTTTCTGTTTTCACTTTATTTAGCGTTTAAAAAAATTGAATTAAATTTCATATTTATTTGCCACCGGTGTCATTGAATCCACTCATTTACCGCTGGTTGAGATATATAAGACCCGCTAAGAACCGGCTTTGCAGCATGGTATTTTTACCCGTAAAGTGAGCAATTGTTTTTTTTTTCTCTCGCAGCCGTTCGTTGTGTTTGTGACGTGTTTATATCTACTAACGTCAATATATGTGTGTGGCGCGCTGGCGACTTGTCAAGTTAAACAGTGTTTTTTTTTTCGCTATCTGAAGAAGTTGCAATATTCGAATACAGGCAAAAGAATTTCTCATTTGTGTTTGTGAGTTCATATTAACATTGCACTAAAAAATTTATGTAAACAAATCCATTTCGGCATGTAATCAAAATAACAAACACCTGTGTTTTTACTTCATTTCCTTCTGATTCCATACTAAAAAACCAGTGTTTACATCTAAATGGTGAATGAAAGGTGATTCAAGCGGTCTTACGTGTTGGTCATGATATTGAAAATGAACGATCCTTCATCATGATAATAATCAACATCCGCTGATGAATACACTCCAAAAATCTAACGATGAAAAAAATTCAATTGATGAAACGAAGGCAAACATTTGTGCACATGCGCAGTAAATTCAATAGAAATTGAATATACCGCGACAATCATCCATCCATGTTTCTTTTTATTTTTTGCTCTCTCTATTTGTGGTGTTCGCTTCATCATAACTTTGTGTTAGTATTTTCATACACGAGTTTTGAGTGCCACTGAAAAAGGGTTCTATTCTCTGTCGTTCCGAATCGAAATCGAAAATTTTAATTTTAGCTAGATTTATTTACTGGCCTTTTTTAGAAGAAAACCAAAAATCACGAACGAAGGTTTGCATTTTGTTAAATTTTCTATCAAAAATCAAGCAATTAGAAACGGTTTCGCCAATCGTTCATGAAAAAAATCGACACAGAACAGATTTACGGAATTGACATCGGGTGTTTTGTTTATGATTCATTATTTTTTTAATTTCGTGCTTGCCAGTGAAAATGTGGTGTGATTGATTGTCGCGACGGGCACCCGAGATACCGTAAAAAAAAAAACATTTTTATCACGAAACAACAGTCATAAAAAAAATTAAATTAAAACTGAAAGTGAAAACAATTAAAATTTGGACTTAATAGTTTTTTTTAATATTTTACTAAAACTCTCTTTTTTTCTACAAATTTTTGTACTAAATTTTTTTTTTTTTTTTCATTACAGTTTGTCAAAAAGATACAAAAAAAAATCAATTCGAAATTAAAGAAATTAGTGAAATTTAACGAAATTAAAACAACGCAAAGATAATTTTATCGAATTTTGCACATTTTCAACGAGGACAGTTTTATTCAAAAGCCGAATAAAATGGGAAATATTCATACTGTTGGGCCAAATGAGGCGCTCATTGTTTCAGGTAAGCAGGAAATGTTCATAATTTTATCGCAGTAAAAGAAAATACTGTTCGGTATTCTACATATGAAAAAAATGGTGTGAAAAAGGTAGTAACATTTATATTGGCAAAAAAAATCAACAAAAGAAAGTACCAGTTGATTATAGCCATAACAATAAAATCAAAAATTGTTCGATTAGTAGATAGTGCATTCGCAATTATTTGTATTCCCAAGGCTGGTCGTGTGAAGTAATTGGGCAATTTAAACCAAAAAAAATCCAATTTTTAAATGACGTAAATTTCTATAAATATCATATTGAATATTGTTCTTGTACTAATTAAAATGACTGCGTGCTCAATGTATATTATGGCGAACATATATTAGTTTATGTACACGCATATTGTTGTCTATCAGGGCACTCTCTCCATAGCTAGTGGCAAATGGCAAATTATTATGATTGGTGTTCTAATACATTTGCACACACGATAGCAACAGTACTAACCCAAAGCACATATTTGAATTTCGGCTCTCATGTTCCATCAAAATGGAAATAACATCATAATGAATAGCATGATGTCATTGTATCGCAAATCATTTTGACATTCAACATTCTATTATGGTCACCCATTCATACTATAGTTCTGATACGAACTACATATGTTTTATATATGCATTTGTGCGTGTGTGTATTGACGTATTTTTTTCTATATATCTCTCTTTGTGATAAACGAATCTGAATAATGACAAAAATACAATTAACGTTGTCACAATCAATTTCTCGAATTTCGTTGACATGAGAAACTGTTTCAACTACGATATAAATTCAATTTTGTAGTAATACGAACCATATTGAGATCGGTTTTGCGCTTCATTTATCAGTTTGACATAGTTAAACGGCCGAATCACTTTAGGTGCAAACAACGTATAAATCTCTATCTCTGTACAATCTCATTTATCTAAATAGCTTATTTTTGCTTTGCTGGCGTCGAGGTAAGCTTAAATAATACGGTTGCAATTCGCCAACGGCTGATAAAAAAGGAATGATTCACGGCGAACGAGAGATTCAAAGAGCAAAAAGCGTTAAAATGAATTATTCATGCACTGATTCCGCTACGAAAATGTAATATGTCACAAGTAAATACACTCCAAAGAAAAACCAAGAGTATGAAATATATTCCGAGTCACTGATTTGTCCATCAGTCCCCGGCGATGCTGCACCATTAAACCCAAATGATTATCAATTCAATTGAAGCAGCAACGGTCACCGCGATAGAGGGAAATAAACGACAAAAAAAAATTGAGAGAATTGGCAATAGCATGTGATACGGAAAAATATCGTCAAATTATGCAATATGCATGCAATTTGTAGCGGACATCGCCACCGTCACCGCCGAAACGTTTGTTTACAGTATACGCCGAAACGTTTGTTTACAGTATGTATACAGTATTTCGTAAACACATTTTACCTAATAGCGTTTTCCTATTGCACTCGTCATACTCGGTCGCTCGATTTCAATTTCATTCATTTCAGTTCTTTAAACAAGGAATCGTCCGTGTCTCCCCTCGTGTGTTTGAGTATTTTAACGTCAAGATGATGCACACGCATCGTTAACGATTGACGCCGTAATGGATTTACTATATACACAATGTTTGTTTGGTCTCGATGAAACTGTAATTTTTCAATGATTTCCAGAATATTCTATTCGATAATCTTATGATGAGTTATTCATTACAATCGAAGAAAAATCAAAATTTCGGAAATACAATAAATGCTCAAGAAAGAACATTTTATACTCCGCATACTGGTGTAAGAATAGATTTCTGTTGCTCAGCAACACAATGATGACGCTTGAATATGATACATATATATATATATATATATATATGTTTTCAACCCCTCAAAAACGAGAGAAATCATGATGATAATACACATACAAATACACATAGTCAAAACAGTGTAATATTACTTATTAGTACTTACGTACTATAGAATGAGGGACGCACACAATTCTCTTTGAGTGAAAAAAAAAACAATTGAATATGTTTCAAATTTCGATTCGATGCCCTTCTTATTTATTTCAATGATGAAAAAATGAATATAAATTATTGCTCCTGACAATAGACTACATTCAATTGCCAAAAGTTAGAATGGTAGCCGTGTGTGTGTGTGTATGTGTGTTGACAGAATTTCTTCCTTCGATATTTCGGTAGAAAAAGGATCGAAAAATGTGGACATTCAATAGGCAGCTTTGGGTTAGTTTTTGGTGCCGTTAAACAGTGTATTCAGGCATACAGTGTTTAATGGGTCAATCGCCACACTGCGAAATGCTCATCGGAAAATTCATTCTATTTTTATCACACGCGTGTTTCAGCAAGAATTTCTGTATTCAAGTTCAAATGAAGCGAAATGGGCATGAACTTCATGCTTGTACCGGCAATATGATGGCAGAGATAAATTTAGAGTGAAAAATATATGCTACCATTTTTATTACATAATATCATTTACAATGCATATAAAACGGTAAACATTATTAGCCACCTTATATGGGTCGATTACGTTGAATTTGATAAAAATAAGTCTAATTATACCCCAAAAGAAACAGAATACATTGTGGGAAAAACCACTTAATTAAAAATTGCGACCCAAAAAAGAACCCATATCCGTCGAGAAGAAAAATTAGTGAATTGAAATCAGATGTTTTCTTCAATTTGCTTTGAAATTTTATAGACAAAGAATGGGAACGTGTTCAAAAAGCCGATTAGTATTATTTGTCTGCGGTGAAATCATGCGCGAAATATCATCTGCATAAGACGGGATTAAATCTATGTTTTAACGTTACAGTTAAGTTTCCACATGAGCAAATTTACTGCAAAGCAAAAAAAAAAGAAGTACGGTCATTGAACACTTAATTTGAAACCATGACAAGTTGACACCAGCAGTGTGTATGTTTGTGTGGAGAGAAATGTATTATATAACGGCACAAAGCAGTTATGCTAAAATATGCCACTGTTGCGGTCGCTCACTGTATATTCTCTTGGGAAAATTAAAAAAGGATTGCTTGTGTCACATTTTTCAAGTGCCAACTGGATGACACTTTAAGTAAATACATATTGCTCGTGCCTCTGGCCACATTTAATGGCTCTTTGACTGCTACATAAAATTGCATCGGAAAATATCACCATTCGATACCAATTGAGCGTTGAGCGCAAATTAAGTGGAAATTGACCTTGGATTCTATATCGACAATAAATCAGCACATTGCACCATAAAGCCGTGTAATAATCACCTTCAATGAACTGCAAATATGATTTCTGCTCTCTCAAACAACAAGAAGCATATTGAAGCTCCCTTCAATTTCCTTTTTGAACATTTAATTTGAATAACCATTTCGTCGTTGTAATCTTGCGTCAATCAATATAATCTTCTCGAAATAAAACATTCTAAACCGATTAAATCTAGAGAAATATATGTATATTTGATACAGTCTATCGAATAGAATAAATAAATAACGCTAAAATTCTGAAATGGTGTTGATGTTTTTGATATTTTCTTTATTCTATCATTGTGGTTTTTGTCGCAACCACTTGGCCTTCAATATATCGGCTAATTTCTCTCCAATCATAAAACTGACTGCATTCGTATGTGCTGTAATTGGTTGCGGAACAATCGAGCAATCGGCCACTCGCAATCGTTTCACACCATAAACACGTAATTTGTTATCAACAACGGCTGTCGGATCGGTGGCCGGTCCCATTCGGCACGAATTCACTTGATGATGCAGCGTGCACGAGAGTGTACGAATCGAACAGCGCCAATAGTCATCACTGCCAAAATGCAAATGACGACATTGTGGCAACGGAATATCATGAAGACGAGCGCCGAGCTTCTGCATGGCCGGTGAATTGGCAATACGAATTGATTCCTTAATGCCGCCCAATATGGTTTCCACATCATCGGGATTGTCAAAATAGTTTGGATAAATGCGCGGCCAATGGAATGGATTGTTATCTTTCAATTCCATATAGCCACGTGATTTTGGATGAAAACCCATCACCAACACCGACCAATGATCAATATCGGGCCGATCAAGCGGACGAAAAACGGTATCGTATACTTCTTGTGTGATTCGCATACCCTTTCGAAGGCCACTACCTTGATCTGATGCCAAACTTCCGCTAACGAAAATCAGCTCGGCATCAGGCAAATCAAGTGGATCACGTGAGTTTGGTGTTTTAATAAAATTCAATGCTTCAACACCGCCAATTGACGTCAAAAATCCTTGGCCGTACAGATATTGTTTCATGTCATATAATCCCATACGAGCGACTGATAGAGATTCATCGGTTGTATTTACAATGAATGTCGGCCCAAAATGACTCATATGATCGTACATATTTCTACCAACGCCTGGCAAATCTTGAAGCACCGGAATACCAACACGTTGTAATTCCTCCGCCGGTCCGATTCCTGAAGGCATTAACAATTTTTGAAAATAATATAACAATTTATGAGAATTTTTTACCTGAGAGCATTAACAATTGTGGCGAGTTAAATGAGCCAGCCGATAAAATAACCTGAAAAACGATATCATAACGTTAGCATACAAACGCATTCACCGTAATGCTTTATGAACTGCATATACATATATAAATATTACATACCTCTTTCAATGCAGTCACTTGATATTTTCGTTTGTTCTTTGCATATTCAACACCGTAGGCTTTTCTTGTCGTCGGATCGATTAGAACTTTCGTTACACGGGCTTCCAATAGTATATGCAAATTTGGTCGTTTGAACATGATTGGATCGATAAATGCGGTAGCCGCACTGTGTCGTCGACCTTTCAACGTGTTTGATTGCACATATGAAACGCCAATTTGTTCGTTACTATTGCAATAAAAGAAAAAAACACATCTTTGTGATTATAGTTGACTGTCAATATCATGTATTTTTGATACACATTACCTATTGTAATCAACTTCACGATGTCCAACTTGCTTCGAGCCCTTTACAAATGCACGTACAATTTTACTACGCCATGGCACATCTTCGACACTCAATGAACCGTATCGATTGTGATATGATGAATTTTCTTTGCCACGTAAATTGGCACGTTCTGATTTTAAGAAATATGGTAACACTTCGGCATACGACCATCCTTCATTTCCAAGCCGAACCCAATCGTCAAAGTCTCTCGGATTTCCACGATTGTAAATCATATAATTTATTACCGATGAACCGCCAAGCGCTTTGCCACGCGGTAATGCACATCGCTGTCCGTCCATTCCTATATAGAATTTTTTTTATTTAATTAATGCTTTAAAATTGCCATTCATTATACAAAATGTATTTACCCCAACAAAAGTTTTTACTCGGTTCGGCCACATAGTTCCAATTTGATTCGGTTGATTGAAAATATGCTGCAATCGATGGAATATAATGGCCAAATGTTTGTGGTTTACCGGCTTCCAGCAAAAGAACTTTCCAATTTGGATTTTCCGATAATCGATTTGCCAGCACACAACCTAATGAAAAATATTGTCCATGATTTTTTTTTTATGTTATACGGGTTTTTGAAATCATGTTCTACTAACCAGCTGGTCCTGAACCCACCACAATGAAATCGTATTCCAACAGCGTTGGATTCAAACCTGTCGCAAATGAAACAAACAAAAAATGCACGTGAATAAACGAAGAACTCCGTTATACTTAATTGTACATTATCGCAAGCGATTAAATGTAATTAATATGGCAGTTGTATGTACGTATTTGGGTCTGTGTCGATGTCGCGATGTCGCAGAGTGAAAATGCGCTGAAAAAGAAATTGGCACACCGGATTTATATGACGACGACGGCGGCGATAACAGCGATACACGATTGGCATCCACTTTCATTACACAATTTCAACCTAAAATCGTATTGAACACGTGCAAATATCGCTCGTGCATGAATTGAACTCACAACAATTTATTGTAGAATTCGACATAATTAATTGTGTACTTTTTCGTTCTTTTTGCCTCTTTTTCTTTTGGTATGTTTGTTTCCTTTACGCTTCAGCCAATTGAATTCAACCAGTTTCCAGTGTCATTGACATTGGCAATGCATATCGTGTTATGCACACCGTAATCGCATTGAAATACTGCCTTAACGTCATTACCTTATAAATATATCACATGGCTACAACCAATGCTATTTCGAAATCACTAACGGTTGCTTCGTAATGCAATTTCTGCTGTTTATCGCATTTATAAACTGTTGTTCTATCGCAATCATTTGCACTCAATCAATTATTTTTTTATGTTTCAGTTAATATCTAGACATCTAATGCGTTTGTACAATAAAACAAGTTCATCAAATGTGCTTGTTTCATGTTTTTAGGTAGACGATGTAGTTGAAATTCAATGGCTCATTTATTTGAAATGTGTGTAATTTTCTTGTCACCGAAAAAAATAGATAAAACAACTCTGTTTGATATGAATTCGCAAAATCGTTTCATAATCCTATAAATTTTTCTTAAGTTTGCACGTAGTCGTTGCAAAACTAGAAATACTCAATGCCATGCAGCTTTTTCGTACTTCATTATCCCTTAATAAACTGGATTTTGGTTACTGTAAGCAGTCTTTCTGCTACTTGTGGTTGACACTTTTTTTTGGTTTTCATTTAAAAAAGCCACATGAAATTTTTTTTTGGTTGGAAAATTTTTGGGGGAAAATAATTCGGTTATGTGATCAAAAACTCACCATATTGATTTTTTGTATAGCTGAATCCGTTATGTTTATTAAAGTCCCATGTGACGACGAATTCTTTATGCGCACCAGATTCACGCATTTGATTGAGAAATATTTGAAATTTCGGCGTAAAAAGAAATCCATTCGCTGTCCATTGATTGAATTTAATCAGAAGGAATATAACACATATCCACCGAATCATGACGCTGTTTTTGGATATTTTTTTATCACTTTTTTTCAACACAATTAATTTTTTGAGATCAAGATTAATGCACAGAATAAATATTTTTTTCGAATCAAGAAGTATGCAAAATCCTTCGTTATTCAGTCGTTGTTCTGGTTTTTCACCTTCTTTTGCTTTATTTAAAAATCAATTTCTTAAACCTAAAAGAATTATAACACAATTAATGATTTAGTTATTAAACTTATTCCGGCTTGTGAAGCGGAATGTTTTCTTGACCGCGACCAGATGTGAACTAAACGTGTCCAAGGAGAAACACGGTCTCTTTATTCAGATATGACTTTTACCTGAAGTCAAACGCTGACTTCTCTATAACTGCGTGTAACGAAGTGATACGGCTTGAAATTTATCTTTCTCTTCCGTGTCATTCGAGAAACAGAAATCGATAACTTGTCTTTCTGTATTCGTTAAATAGCGAATCGACTATCGAGATATATGTATATGCGATGGAATAGAACTTCCAAACTCAATTAGTCGGTGCGTTCTCATTATTACGAACACAATAAATGATGCATAATTAAATGCATTAAGCGAATGGCACAGAAAGAGAATCAATATGCTTTGAGCAAAGAATAAGTTTTTGTTATTAGGTAAAGTGTTTAGAAACAAGTCAAATTAGTTTTCAGGTCAACATCGAAATAAAGAGCGCCTTTAAATCTTCTTGGCACGTAAAGAATTCAAACCGAAAAAAAGACACATGGTATCGTCGCCAAATTTCTCCAATCGATGACAAATGACTACATTAAATATTCAATTCTTCAATATGAAATTGATAAGCGCACGATTTTCACCTGCTAGCACATTGATTTTATTCTTTGTTTTTAGTTTTGTTCTTTCTTGTTCTTTCGCACATTTAAAATAACTTCTTTGCGAAAATGTTTTAAATCTAATCTGCATAAAAACGTGCCGAAATCATTCACCGCACAAAACAACCTTCACTGTTCATTCAACAAGTGTCTGATTTCTATGGAACTATGTTGCTTTACTTCTTCTTGTCATAATGCACAAGTTTTTTCGAAATCTTTTTCACAATGAAAAGAAGTCGCAAGCGAAACTTTTCTCGCACCAACCACATTTAGTGGATATTTTTTGATTGAAATTTTTTTACACTAAAAATCTAATCGCTGCAATCTTTTTCGATATTTCAAATGTACTTCGCAATGCGAAGACAGACTCGAACTGACACCAACTATTTTCGGTTTACCACTTTTCTTGTTGCAAGAAAAACGGTTGGTTGTAGAGTGGGAATGTTTGTGGAACACCGTTCAACTGATGAATCGAAATGATAAATTGCATTCAACACGTGACATGGATTTGCTGAAGTAGAACTATGAATGTTATCGGCCAAGAATCACACAATCACATTTTATTCTTATCGATCTAAGTCGATTCATTGATTCGCCATTTTTGTCATTCACACGTCGTATCACTTTCAATTCAAACATTAGACTAAACTAAAAAATTCAATTTGAAATCGAACTGCCACTTTTTAACCCGTATAATGCATATAAAATTATTGAAATTGTGCAAAAAGATAATTCGTGTAAAATTTGCTTTTGAAATGTTATCAAAATCAGGCATAAATGGTCTAAATCTAATGCCTGATTTTGATATTTAAATAAGACCAAAATCGGGCATGACATTTTCAGTACGAAAAAAAGAAAAAAAATATTGCACAATTTCGACCATATTTGAATGGTGGTATTCCACCAGGGGGACATCTACGACAGAACTTTTTGAAACCTATCCAGAAAATTAGTGCCCAATTAGTGCCATTTAGTGCCGCCGAAAAAAAATTAGTGCCCAATTGATGCCCACGATTGGTACCTTTGGTCAGCACTTTCGATTTTTCCTACCCAAGTTACAGCTATTTATTTTATTTGGGGTTAAAAAAATTAACTACCCCAAATCGATCAAAAAGGATTGAACAAATGATGCAGAAAATTAGTGCCCGCGATTAAGACCATTTTTTCAATAGTTTTGTCAAAAATTCCCTTAACAAATTCTTTTATTTTCCATTTTTGCATTTCAACCCCTAAAAAGAAATTTCGATTTTGAGAAGCATTGATTCTAATTTCACCGCTATTGAGTGGCACTAATTGGGCACTAATTTTCTGAACGATTTTAAGATTTAGTGCTTCAGTCTGTGACGATTTTGAAAATTTACCCCCCAAAGGGCTGTGAGCCAAAAATTCAAATGTACCAAATCGATCGGAAACGAATGGGAAAATGTTAAAAATTTGCTGTTTTTATTGAATTCTATTATTTTCGTGTTGTTTACACGTTATCGTTCTCTTGAGGTAAAAGAGGCACTTTGTACTGATTCCATTTACAGTAGTGTCTATGATTTAAAAAAAATGGGTAAAAACCAACAACATTAGTTTATTTATTTCAGAATTTATATATTTCAGAATAACTTTATTTATATAATAATAATAAGAATGACTAAATTTAGAACGCCTTGGTTGAAATTTATATGATTCTTTCTGTACACATTATCACTATAGTCACCTTAATACATATTTATAAAAGAGAAAGACCGACTGTGAGTATATATTGGAATGTGTTTATATTCCACTTCTGTGTTTTGATTACTCAAAATTTAATCAACCATATGTCGTAATTTTTTATTGTTTACATACAACCAAAAAGGTATTACCGAGCAGAATGATATCTTTATTCGTTTGCCATCGATTTTGGGCTTTCAATTTGAAGTAAAATAAATGACGCATATTATAATGTATGTTAATTTATATATAGTTATGTGCGATCAACTTAAATGTGCTGATAGAAACAAAGTTCATCGATTGATATGATCTGTTTGGCCCATTGGAATCGTCAAAATTCATCATATAAATTTCAACCAAGGCGTTCTAAATTTAGTCATTCTTATTATTATTATTATATAAATAAAGTTATTCTGAAATAAATAAACTAATTTTGTTGTTTTTTACCCATTTTTTTTAAAATCATAGACACTACTGTAAATGGAATCAGTACAAAACGCCTCTTTACCTCAAGAGAACGATAACGTGTTAACAACACGAAAATAATAGAATTCAATAAAAACAGCAAATTTTTAAAATTTTCCCATTCGTTTCCGATCGATTTGGTACATTTGAATTTTTGGCTCACAGCCCTTTCGGGGGTAAATTTTCAAAATCGTCACAGATTGAAGCACTACATCTTAAAATCGTTCCAGTTTTGGCGGTGAATACATATTATTATTATTTTATTATAAAATTAGTGCCCAATTAGTGCCACTCAATAGCGGTGAAATGAGAATTAATGCTCCTTACACAGGCTCAAAATAGAAATCTCTTTTTAGGAGTTGAAATGCAAAAATGGAAAATAAAAGAATTTGTTAAGGGAATTTTTGACAAAACTATTGAAAAAATGATCTTAATCGCGGGCACTAATTGGGCACTAATTTTCTGGATAGGTTTCAAAAAGTTCTGTCGTAGATGTCCCCCTGGTGAAATACCACCTATTTAAATATCAACATTTTTCGGGTGACTCTAGTAATCGGTCGACACGAAAATGAGACTATTTAAATGGCCATCGATTGCTACCAAATATAAGTGGATTAAAAGCGTACTTTCTTCGTTTATTAATTCACAAATTCGAAAGGAAATCCAATTGATTGACAAATTACAGTAGCGTACCAATGTAGAATTAGTCATTTCTTAATGCAGTTTCTTGGTCGATAAAAAATTATGTAAGATTGACGCATTAAAAATTTCGGCAATCACTCCGATTGTGCAACATCACTTTAGATGGTACATTAATTTGTTATGAAAACGGTGAACATGACAACATTTGCGACCCAGTAAAACTTTTGTATATAGAACTCTTAAAACTCTTAACGCCGCACGGCGAAGGTTCTTTATAGTGTGACTTGCAAAAAAATTGCGATTGAATTACAAGTGACTTTCGCGCACATGAAACGGGGTCAATTAATTTGATTTCGTATTGTGATTTCACCGATAACCTGTTTTAATGTAATGGCACACGATCCAAACGTTGATGATAAACGGCGAGTAAAGTGTCTGCCACTTCGGCTCATCGAACAGGAACCGTTAACTGCAAATTAAAATAACTATAATATTCAGTGTCATTCGAATCGAATTTTTTATCCAGCAGACACACAACTTTTTTTTTGAAATTCACAATAATAAACTTGGACGCTGACTCATTCAACTGTAAAACAAATTGATAAGATACGAAAGAATTCACGCGATGGCAGAAAAGTAGATTATTTAAATTAAATCGAGCGAAAAAAACTTGCTCCTTTGCGATTTCTATTCATCTATTGGAAAGCTAGAATCGTTTTTTTTTTTATTTATCAATATTCATTGATGTCGTTTTAAAATAAATCTATCGCAAAAATAAAACTTGAGAATATATCCACGAGAAACACTACGATACCGAGTGCGTTATCATCGAAATCGAAATTGATAGTGATTTAATTTTTTTCAACCGATCATATTTGTGTATGAATTAAAATGCGTAGCACGTTTAATGTAGAAACATTAAAAATATGATTTTATTGATTGTGTTAATCGTCGTAGAGATAAAGCAATTCTGTAACCTTCATAAGCCTCTTTTTTTATTATTCATATGTTCGACGATTCGCATAAAAATGATGATTTGTGTCGCATATTAATCGATCAACATAGAATATTGCACAATGAGGCGGCAACGGACAGCAGTGCCTTCCAAACGAATTCCAACGCACTACAACGTTTACTTATTACTTTAAAAGCTTAGTTTTCATTATTTATCGCCTACGTTTAAAATAGTAAACTTTTTGTCTATGTAAACAATGCTTTTGTTTGAACAACCAAGCTTTACCAACACGAAAAAGCGTCAAGCATATCGCATGACTTCAACAAAGTTGCGTTGCGTGAACTCAAGTTTGAATTATTCATCGACTCTTTCAAGTTGAGCATGAGCAACGGAACATGGTTTACGACTTGTTGTACAGTTTCATTCGAAGAGGTTGAAGTTCAAGACTTACAGTCATGCCCGTGACATGACTTGTTGAGTTAGCAAATGTCAATCGGTAGTAATAAGATATAAATTATTTTACTACAACGTTCAGCAATATAAGCAGTTACCTCCAAATGCTTACATAAAAGTGGTTGAATGCTTGGCTATGAAATATATTGCCTACATCGAGGCGAGTCGTTAAGATGCGGTCGTTATTTCCTACTGAATAATGATTTTTTTACACTTTAAAGACATTTTTTTTTATTGCAAAAGAGAATTTATTACAAACAAAAATTAACAAAAATCGATTCAATGAACGAATATATGTACAAAAAAAAGATGCAAAAAATATATTTTTTTAACTGGGTCAAGTGTTGTTCATCCTCAATTATATACAAAATACGCATGAATTTAATCTAATTCTCTATCTAAATAACTGACTCCAATCGGATGAACGTCTTCGTATATGTTACCACTAAATCCTATCATTAAAATGTATCCCGTTTTCATGTTTCACTTGATACTAAACCACACACTTACACAATTGTCATGGTCATGGTTGAATATCAACACAGAGCGCGCATTAAAAATCTCGCTTTGTTGCAGTCAGTTGATTTAAATTTGGCTAGTTTTCATTCTTAACTAACGCATTAAATAATGTTTACTAAAAAATTTATCTACAATTGATTTGTTTTACGAGGGTTGCTCCATAATTTTTTTTAAAAACATATATAACACAGTTGTTTTTTGTCGAAAATGGTTTTATTGTTTTTCAAAATATTCCCCGAGATGATCGATACACTTTTGCATTCGATGAAACCATTTGTCATAGCATTCGTGCCACTCCGAAACTGATATCTCCAAAACGTGTGTTTTGAACGCTTCAACTGCTTCTTCTGGTGTCGAAAATCGTTGACCACGTAGTTTTTTCTTCACGCTTGGGAACAAAAAAAAGTCATTGGGTGCCAGGTCAGGACTGTACGGTGGATGACCCATCAGTTCGATGTTTTGACCGGTCAAAAATCGAGTAGTTTGAAAAGATGTGTGAGAGCTCGCATTATCGTGATGAAGAATTATTTTGCGACGGTGGTTGTTTTTTCTTATTTCACCAAACACTTCGGGCAAACAAATGGTGGTATACCAATCAGAATTGACGGTCTTACGATCCTCTAGTGGAACGGTTGCCACATGACCACTTCTCCCGAAAAAACAGGCGACCATTCGCTTCGAAGTGCTTCTTGCTCGAACAACTTTCGTTGGGTTATCTTCATTTTGGAAGACCCATACAGTCGACTGCTGTTTCGTTTCGGGCTCATAGGCATATATCCACGATTCGTCACCAGTGACGATTTTATTAACGTCTTTTGAAGCACCACGATTGAATTTCTTGAGCATTTCTTTACACCAACTCACACGAGCCATTTTTTGTTCATCGGTCAATTTATGTGGGATCCAACGAGAGCAAATCTTTTTTACGGCTAAATGTTCATGCAAAATTGTATGTATGCTGTGGGATGAAATGCCCAAAGATGCCTCAATCTCACGGTAGGTCACATGACGATCTTCCATAATCAGTTTTCTGACAGCATCGATGTTTTGTGGCACAACAGCCGATTTTGGACGACCTGTATGAAACTCGTCTTTGAGCGAACTACGACCGCAACGGAATTCTCGGTACCAGTTATAAATTGTCTGAAGGGTTGGTGCTTCATTGCCAAAGGCCAAATGAAGTCGATCGAAACACTGTTGTTGAGATAATTTACTTCGAAAATCGTAGTAAATCATTTTACGAAAATCTTCACGTGTAAAATTCATTTTTTTGTTGAGTCGCAGTTTACCAGTCACTGTAAACAATACAAATAGCGTTCGTACGACAAAAGGTTCAGGGCACGAATACATACCAAAACATCAAACTTTACGAATATGACAATGGTTTACATCGGGCAACACTATAAGTACCATTTTAAAAAAAATTATGGAGCAACCTACGTATCTATGAGTTTTATGCAGCCGTTGCATTTGCATATGAAAAGTTTTTAACACTGGCTGCAACATCCGCTAATTTTGTGGGTTCTGTTAGTTTTGCCTCTCGTTCGGCGCGAACAACTTCCTCTTGAAGCCATAGCTCTTTGATTAAATCGGCTCCCTTCTCGGCCACCATAACAACAGGCGCATGAATATTTCCGCTTGGAATTGTTGGCACTAGAAAAAAGTAGATTTAAAACGATTAATTGCCGTCTATGTTTTGATTGATTGACTTGAAAGTCGAAAAGTACTCACTGATACTGGCATCGATGACACGAAGACCGCTTACACCATAAACTCGAAGCTGTGGATCAACCACAGCCCATGGATTTGTTGGTGGGCCCATTTGAGCCGTACACGAGAAATGATAGATTGTCATTGTATATTGTTTCACTGAAATTGAAAATTGATAAGATTTTTCTTTCTGCAAAAAAATGGTTTCGAAATTTAAAACTAACCAACGCATTCCCAGTATTCATCGGTCATATGTGGTAAATGTTTACAATTTGGCAATGGTTTTGAATGGTAACGTGATCCAAATCGCTTCAATGCTTGCGTTTCGGAAACGGCAATGGCGGCTTTCACACCTTCTCTCATGACATGCACGTCATCAGGGTGAGTCAAGTAATTATGGTAAAGTAATGGATATCTCAGTGGATTTTTCGAAATGATTTTAATAAAACCGCGACTGCGTGGTCGCAATATCATTGGGAAAATGCCATAGACATCTTTATATTCTAGTTCCTTGTAAATTTCATTGTAAAACTCTTCTTTAAGGCCATGTGCCACTTTAATTTGCGGATCCGATGGTGTTGAACCACTAGTGAAACTGTCATTTAAAAATGAGAGAATTAGCGAACAAATTATTGTCGAAATTTCCATTGAAAAACTTACAATAGGTTCATGTCTGGCCAATCATCAGAGCTATTTGCATATTTCGTATTGATAAATGAGGTAACTTCCAAACCAACGCTGCTCGTCAATGGTCCATCTTCGGTGATGGCATATTTAATGGCCGAATTCATATTGAACATACGACTAAATAAGAAACTAACTTGTGGATCTATTCGGAAGGCCAGTCCTCCTATTGCGATGTGATCTGCCGGTGAGCGTAAAAAAATGTTAGAACAAAAAAAAATAGAAATGAAAAATGTACGACCAACCTTGTAAATTACGGCCAACTCCAGGTGAATCATGAATGACCGGAATTCCAACCTTTTCTAAATCGGCTTGTGGTCCGATTCCTGATAGCATTAACAAATGCGGTGAATTGATTGCGCCCGCACTCAAAACCACTTCCCGCTTCGCATAAACCACTTGTTTGACGCCATTTCGAATGAATTCAACGCCGAGTGCACGTTTTGTTTGTTCGTCGAAAATCACTTTGGTGGCATGAGCAAACAGGGCAACATGCAAATTTTTACGCAAACGAACTGGACGCAAGAATGCTTTTGCATCACTACAACGTGTACCACGGCGCATTGTAAATTGATAAAAGGCAAAACCAGTTTGTTGTTCACCATTTATATCGACAATATCATATCCTAATTCTTCGCCGGCTTGTAAAAATGCCATTCCCAATGGGGTGTTGTATGGCGCGTCTTGAACCGTTAAATATCCACCTGAAAAATTTAACAGTCATTATTACCATTCGAAAGAAAAGAAATGAAAATTATTTACCTGTTCCATGATATTTTGAATTTTTGGCCAAGTATGGATTACGTTGATCTTCTGATTTTCGGAAGTATGGCAAAATATCTTCGTATCCCCATCCCGGATTGCCCAATGATTCCCATTGATCAAAATCTCTTCGATTTCCACGAACGTACAACATTGTATTTAACACCGACGAACCACCGATCACTTTACCACGGGTCCAACAACACCGATTGTCTTTCATCGCCTGACATGCCGTCGATTGTGGTTGAGTTCTGTAATGTAAAGCACAACATGTTGATTAAACAAAAAATAATAAATTTGTAAGGTTTTCAATGTGCCGAAAAATGTCTATCTGTCTACGTGCTCTATTGTGAATAATATACATAATGCACTTCAGCCGAAGCTCACGTCGTATGGATCATCATTCGGATTAAACGAATTCATTCAAAAGAACCGAAGAAAAAGCATATTGAATACACATAAAACCACATCTATATGTATTGGTTATTTCAATAGCCAAAAAACTAAGTCCAACACTTTCGACAACCTTCGTATGCATTGTAATGATCTCTTCAGTCCACTTGTATCACTTACACTCACACAAATACTTGGATTGCGCCACTAGCCGGCTCACCAACCAATACCAGAAATGTTGAGAAAGACAACCAAGACAAAACCTATAAATACTAGATGCGAGGCGATAATTTGGTTAGTTATAAATCAAAGCTCGAACCAGAATGTAAAACTTCAACACGAATTTTGATCAATATATTAGTCAAAATCGAACATTACCAGTGCCGAAATGAAATTACTAACTAAACAAACAAAACACGTACTTTTTTTTGGGCATGTTTAAAAAAGCTTCAAATACATCGAAAAAATCGTCTCGTTACTTGATCAATGCATACATGTAAATTAAATGTGTACGCCATCCATTGAATACGAACCATATTCCACCTGATACTAATGCTCATTCGATGATCATTAGCTATTGCCACACAGACTTTGTTCGCACCGCACATGGGCCGTATAATGTTTGCTTTGTACCAATTTGTTGCTCATTAGACAAACAACACAATTATTATATAAAACAGACAGAGAAAGAGACTAGCAAACAAAATGCCACAAGATTTTAGAGAAAATGAAGAGGGAAATACTTAAATTACACCAATTTATTCGATAATTATCTTCTTCGATTGAATCATCTTATTCTCTATTTAAATGCTTAAAATGCGTTGTTATTTTCTTTTATCGTTAAATCTTAATAGTTTGAAATAAATAATTAAAACAAGGTTTGCTTCTCATTCAAAATCGTCACACGCACTTTCAATCTGTTTGGTTTCGTAGCAAATTAAAAAAAAAATCTTAAACAAACTCAATCTGTGTAATAAATATATAGTTCAATTCAAATGCAGATCATCGTGAGTTCATCGTTTCTGTTACATTCGCTGCCGGTGTCACCAGTCTTTGGCCATTGTCGTATCGTTTGTAACGAAACATTTCGTCACGTAGCCACAGTGCTTTGATCATATCAGCTCCCTTTTCCGCTATCATAATCACCGGTGCATGAATATTGCCATTTGTAATTGTTGGCATGATTGAAGCGTCAATCACTCGAAGACCTTTAACGCCATAGACTCGTAGCTGTGGATCAACAACCGCTTCTAGATCCGAAGATGGTCCCATTTTACATGTGCCAGACATATGATAAATCGTCATTGTATATTGGCGTATAAAACACTCCCAGTATTCATCCGTGAACATTGGTAAATGTCGACAATTTGGAACTTGACGATGATGAAATTTGGCGCCAAATTGTTTTTTCAACGAATCAGTTTCACCGTATGCAACTGCCAATTTGACACCTTCACGCATCACATTCACGTCGTCCGGGTGCGTTAAGTAATTATGGTAAAGTAATGGATATCTCAGTGGATTTTTCGAATGTAATTTTAAAAATCCACGACTTTTCGGCCGTAAAATCATTGGCAAAACACTGATTGTGTCCTGTGTTACCAAATCACCGAATACATAATCGAAAAATTCTTTCTTCAATCCGTGAGCGACTTTCGCTTGTTGATCTGCATACAGTGAAGCGCTTGTTAAGTGAAATTCCATATCGGGCCAATCGTCTGAATGATTTGCGTATTTTGTATTCACAAAACCGACCGCCTCCAAACCTATGCTGCTGGTTAATGGACCGTTTTCGGTGATGGCATATCGAAGTGCTGCATTTAAATTGATTAAACGATTTGTCTTGATGCCAACGGGTTTGTCAATTGTCCATCCAAGTCCCCCGATTGCGATGTGGTCCTGCAGGTTACGGCCCACTCCTTCCAGAGCCTGTACTACCGGCACACCGACCGATTGTAAATCTCGTTTTGGTCCAATGCCTGAATTTAGAAGGATATGTGGTGAGCCAATTGCACCAGCCGTTAAAATGACTTCTCTTCGCGTATATACAGCTTGTTTAATGCCATTACGAATAAACTCAACACCAACTGCGCGCTTTGTCACCGGATTAACCAGCACTCGTGTCGTATGTGCAAATAACGCAATTTGCAAATTCTTTCTTAATCGAATCGGTCGCAAAAATGCTTTGGCCGCACTACATCGTGTTCCGCGACGCATATTAAATTGAAAGAAAGCGAAACCAGTCTGTTGTTCACCATTCACATCGACCAAATCATAGCCAAATTCTTGTGCCGCCTGCAAAAATCCAATGCCAATCGGTGTGTTGTACGGTGCATCTTGAACGGTTAAGGGTCCGCCTGTTTGGATGGAAATTTGATTAGATTTTATTCATGAAAAAAAAAAATGTTTAGTAATTTTACCAGTTCCATGTTGTCGTTTATTGCGTGCCAAGTATGGATTGCGTTGATCTTCGGATTTTCGAAAGTATGGTAAAATATCTTCGTATCCCCAACCTGGATTACCAAACGATTCCCATTGATCAAAATCACGTTTATTGCCGCGAATATATAGCATTGTATTCAATACCGATGAACCGCCAAGTACTTTACCGCGTGTCCAACAGCAGCGATTATCTTGCATCGCTTGGCACGCCGTCGCCTGTGGTTGTGATCTAAATATTTTGACATATCGGGCAATTTTTTTTGTTTTAAATCAAATTCATTCAAAACACAAACACAAAATCTACACACATGCCCCTCCGAATATTGAGTTATCAAAATGAGACAGTTCTTCTGCAACAAATAAAATTAGTACCAACAAGTCGAAGAAAATAGAGAGAGAGACAAACACAAAATGGTTTTATATTATGACGATGGTGTGAAAATGAAGAAAACAAAATACAGCTACACAATGTGAACATAAATAAAAAAAATAAAAACACAGCGAGACAGGTAGTAGACGCTTTTGAGTTTGTTGGTTGTTGTTGTTTAGAGCTAATTAAATTCAAGATCAGATACAAAGAGTAAGATGGAAATGTGATTAATCATACATAAAATTTGTTGTTATATAGGCTTAGACACTACAATGAAGTCGATTATAGTAATAATTGAATTCACACGTTAACATATTGTGGTTTTTCGTCGTCATTGATGATTGTGCCGAGTCATTGTGCAGTTACAAATGAGTTTCGTTTTTTATGTCGAACTAAAAGACTTTAATGGCATTATTAATGTCGAATGAATTTCAACCGATTTTAAAATCAATGTGCCTGTGCATTTTAGCCGTGAATATCATTTTCGAAACAAAAAAGAAAGAAATGAAAACAAACTTCCGCCGAAGCCTATTTCAATCATACTTGTGGTGAAAATAAAGAAATGGAATCAACCAACACCGAATCTAAATGATGCCCTAAAACCACATCAGATACACATTCAATCTATACATTTTTTTACTAACTACTTAAAGGTTAACCGCTTCTGATTTTATATAATAATTCAATCGGATTATATTTTGATACCGATCACCCATCCGACGATGAGTGAGAGTTTACTGAAAAATGATTCTTATATAAATTAAAGTTTAGCCATATTCAACAGTTTTATCGCGTAATCGATTCAACTCCAAACTCTTAGAAGTCGTACGGCAGTGCGTTCGAGCGCACCAAATAACACTTTCATTATTAATTTTCTAAAAAAAAATTAAATTTCTTGGTTTCGCCTGAAAATTTTGCGAAAGAAATGAAAACACAATAGTGCACTTTTTCACTTTCTTTCGTGTGATCTATACGCGCCGTCACAGTATAGCGACCGTCTGATATGAATCAACACAAAATTTATCGCATAATAATTTGTACGGTGTGCGGTATGCGTGCCACAACTGAAATCAACAAACAATAAAAAAAACACATGAAGAAATACAAATAACGCGCATTTTGATTTGGTTTATAGATGAATGTGTTTTGATTACAGTTGTCGACGTAACACAGACATTTTACGAGCGCTATGAAGAATGACGATGGGTCATTTGCCAACGCCAAATTCAGCTCATTTTAATAATTGACTCATTTGATCGAAATATATTTAAAAAACCATATTTTTTCATGTAAACGTATCAAAGAAGATCCATCAAGAGAATAAAGTCATAGTTGGCGCCGCCGCAGAAGTAAACCTCTTAATCTAAATTTTAAAGCATATACGCACCATTTTTTTCAAGTGTATACTACAATAATTATGTGAAAATGTCTATTATTATTCAATTTGATGTGTGCGAGAGTGGTTTGAACACATAAACACACTTATACATTGGCATGGTGCTCCGTCATGTGGATTACATGCATCAAAGTCAGTGTAATTCACTTGAGAAATCAACACAACGTTATTAGACTGAAAAAAAAAGATAATGAGTTAATTTCGAGCTGAAGCCGTGAGAATGCACAATCTCAAGCGGGCACAAAACACACTCAACACACGATAAAAGGCAACAGCCCAAGTATATACGTAAGAATGCTTGGCAGAAAGATTGCGATTTTTTCTCATCTTACACTCGTGTTTTGATTTAATTAAATTTCAAAATATCTTCTTGAAAACTGAATTATTTTCATGAATTAAAATTCATAGTCTTCCGTCATCAAAGGTCTATGAAAGCATTGCTTTTCTTTTAATTAGAAAATGTGAGGAAATGCACATGAAAATGATTCGTTTTTAATCATAAAAGACGATCAATTTAAACGTGCATGAAAACATTCGCACTGGAATTCGGAAGTACTGCAGAAAAAAAACGGTGTTTGCTTACTAATGAGTCGGTAGTGTGAGCGAAATCAAGCGTAAAATCGACAATTGTCGAATTTCTTTTTATTCGACAAACGTATATACATGTGCTACCCGATGCATTTTTAATTACATTAAATGTTCAATATTGTTTCGGTTAGTATTTCGATGCGTGTTTCGAATGTAGAGAAAAAGAAATTCATTGCAGTGGGTCGCGTCCGCCTTTTCCACCGAACAACATCACTTTTTGAAATAATTCGAACAATAAAAGCCAAACAAAGCCATTTCCTTAGTTATGACGCTGATGAATGCCTACTATTGTTCACTGTTTACTTGAAACCACCGACAAAGCCACAACAGCCATCGATGTCATAATACATCAAATGTTGTTTTTTTTTAATTCGTTGATAGTGTCAAAAAAGTGACAGCTTCGAAAGATTTTAACATCTGTTTTATTGCGCTTTAACCCTTTTATTGCAGAACAATACCATTGCCACGTGCGATTGAATGTAAATTTAAGCGGCGAGGATGAGTTTTGATTTTCATTGAACATTTATTTTACAGCCGCTACACATTGTGGTTATTGTTGTTTGGACACCATTAAATATGAACGGTTTTTGGACGGTGGCATCGAAGAATTCAATTGTGCAACGAAAATGCCATATCAACCTCGGCACAATAACAACAACTGGATTTAATGCGGTGTTATTTTGATGTGACTAATAAAATTGGCCATCGGTTTTTGACACCATTAGACAAATCAATTGAATTTGATCACATATTTGCCTGTGTGGCCGATGAATACACATGAAAAGGTGCACTTCACTTTCTGCCAAAAGAAGACACAGAAAAAGTCTAAAAATATATGTCGGCTATTTTACGCTATTATCGTTGTTGATGGTTTCATTCATAGTAGAATGAAAAGATAAATTCATGTCACGCTGCTTTATTCGAAAAATCACTTAATTTTCATTTTATTTTTAATCACCCAATTCTCCAAATATTTTTCAATGCCCAAACACTAATTTACGTTTAAAATCTCTTTCGGAACATGTTATTTATACTTCAGCCGCACAGCAATAATCAGATAAGCTGACAAATTGTATATAAATGATAGTTAATAATATTGATGATTTAGTGACTTGTGATGTGGCTGTGACCGAGGCCAATCAAAGCCAACGAAAAGAAGAATTTTGTTTTCTTTTTGTATGTAAATCGAAGATATGTAAATTTGACTTAAAAAAACCGAAACAGTCGATTAAAAATATAGATTGAAAACGAATTCATTCAATTCTCATCATCAAATCTGAGAAAACATGTCCGTTTGGCTGCGATTGTGCAATTCAATTTTTTTTATAAAAGCCGAGCTTCATTCGATCATTCGACCGAGCCGCGTTATTATTATTAAAAACAGTTATGAAATTCGCATAAGCAATCTAAGACATTCTATGAAAGAGCTGTGTGCCGCGTTAAGGTAAAAACACCACGTTCATTACCATTAAATGCATAATATTCGCATTGAAATTGATAATAATTTGGTCATTTATCGTTTGGATGTTTTTTTTTTTAACGTAAAATACACCGTTACATTCGTAATTAGTAAGTTAGCAGTTTGGTATGGCTTCCATATCATGCTATACACATGAACAAAATTGAATCGTGCCTGCGTCAATTCACAATGTTTGCGCTCAAGGAGTATCCAAACATTTCAAATAACTTTAAAATTTCATCGTACAGCACCCGTCTAGGCAAACTCAATATGCAGTCACTTCAAAGGCGCCGCATAAATGCATCAGTTTTATACATATTTGACTTACTGCATAATAACATCCATTGCCCATCACTTAAAGCAGAAATCTCTCTCAATCAAAACGAACGAAATTTGCGAAATGTGGAATCTTTCAAAATTAACGACAAACTCTTGAGAATAAATCCATCGGTACCAATCAATCAAATGTGCAAAATGTCAAACAAAGTACAAGAACTATTCTCAACGCAACCAAAGAGATCAACATTCAAAAATCAACTTTTAGCCTTAAGCGATGAACATTTTTCAAAGTTGTCAATGATATCTAATCATAATACTGTTTTCTTTAACGAATTAATGTGATATTTTTTTCCCTATATTTATATTTTTTTGACTCATTGTATTTGGGTGCAATTTGAATATTAACTATTGAATATTTCAATTATTTATTTATTTATATATCTATGATATTTTCTCAATTTTCAAAAAATGTTTTCTGTTCTAAATTTTGAAAAGATGTGGTTTTTAACGGTGATCAGATGTGCACACACTAATGATTAAACCTTTTTCCCACCATAAATGTATAAAAATCAATGTACACACTCAAACATGATTCAGCCAGTTTTTGGCGGTGAATAAATATTATTATTATTATTATTATTAATCTACTTAGTTTTTTTTTGCGCAAGATCTGTTTTTATCTACAAAAAAATCGCTTTTACCATTGTCGCTACTTCTTTTGCTTTGAGCAGTCCACGATTTGTCTTCTAATTATTGTGCGCAGTGAAAAATGCGTGAATGTCATTCTGCCGATGTTTTTGTGGTCATTAAAAATTACATTAGCTGGAAGCATAATAATAATGCAACAAAATATTATGTAAAAACAAAAGTTTAAATTAATTTTTCAACGACACTGGTCACACTCTGGGAATATGGTAGTTTTTTTTTTGAAAAAACATCTACATGTGGCTACAGCTGGCCGAAAAAAAAAGTCATAGGTAATTGTAACGTTAACGACAATGGCATGGGAAAAGTTAAGGTAATAGTTGCAGTGGATAACAACAGAAAGCACATAACACGTCCAAGCGACCTTGAGCCTATTTCCTTTTGCGCTCGGTTCGGTTCGATTCAGACTCTTTTTTTTATTTTCACTGTAAA